GTCGTCTGTCAACCCAGCCTCCATAGGCAGGAATTCCGGACATTTTCAAGAACGTTTATATAACCGGGTGAATTGTATGGAATTCATTGTAAAGAAACAGAACTGTTAAAAAAGTGGAATGTACTCATATGATAATAAATTCTGCATTATGGCTTGGGAAATAGTTGATGTCAATACTATTGTGTACCTAATTACTTTATTGCATGCACTTGTAAACCATCAGTTTTATGTGCATGGATATATTCAATATTCAACATCCATTTCCCTCCATTTTGACGGTTTGCCTTCAGCGGAAACCTTTCACTGATGAAGATCTATTTTTTTTTTTTTTTATTAATTATCTTCCATTGTTCAGTCTTTTTATTACATAAAGGCTCTTCTATAACCTTGAAATATTTTTTTTTATTATAAAGCCCAATTAATTTAGCGTAAGCCTATACATTTTCTAAAATTTTTAATTTTTTTATAATACCAAACGTATTATATGAAAATGTGAATTATCATTAAAATCTTTTTGAACCAACATAATTAACTGTAAAATATTTAAATTTAAGTTGATTAACCTACTATAGCAAAATGTTAAAACACGATCTGGACCAGCTCAGTATAATATATCATTAATTAAATTAGACAATGAGGAAAGCATCCATCATTCTGCTTTCTAATTAATGTAACCACTAAGCAAAATTTGCTTGCAGTATTAAATGCTGTACTTTATTGCTTGATGAAGTATTTGTATTACATCAGATTGATGGTTGAGTGAACAATAAAATGTAGTGGTGAAAGGAAATTATCCTTGGTATCGGTATCCTTACAATGTCTGATATACGTCCTCAATCTGAGAGAGAGTTGTTCAGATCCTCACAATAATCAAGTATTGATTACTGCTGGGGAGATGATGAACATTTCTTTTGTTTCACTTGAGTCTCTGTTTATCCGTTTTCTCTTTTGCAATTGGATTTTTGCTCAAAGTGACCTATCATCTGATAAACTTTATAAGACAGCATTCGTCCTTCATGTCAAAATCATTAACGTGAGTACAATGGCCTCATACCACAAGACAGCGGACATTGTTTTTCCGATTGGAAATCGTTAAGGTAAAAATGTATGATTTCATGAAGGAAAAATCACATAGGCTACAACTTTAAAGGGATTAGTAAGACACTTTTCTAGAGGATAAAAATTGTAAAAAATATTTTTACACTGACATCTTACTCCTCGAATCTTACTAATATTATAAATGTGAAAGTTTGTGTGTTTGTTTGTTTGAAGTTCAATCACGCATAAACCACTGGACGGATTCGACTGAAATTTGGCATGATGATAGCTTACATTCCCGATTAACATATATGTATATTCTTATCTCAAAAATCCTTTCGGGCTCCGCCCCAGCGGGCTCTGTAATTCCCCATGTTAACCTTATGAGTATTCATATTTTAAGGGAATTAAAGAATTTAGTCAGCTTTTTCGACTAAAAAAGTTGGTTCTATGATATGGAAAAGCATTAAAAAGTTATAAGATTTACCAACAGGGTGCAGCACTATATTTTTTTTGCATTTATGAAAACAGCTACTTTGAACTAAGCAGCGACAAAAAAACTGTGATTCGCAAACTTAAAAGATATTCAAAGAGTGATCTTGTGTACTTGCTCTGAAATACGATGACGAAAATATTCATTTTATGTCAAATTAATGTTAAATCCTAAGACCTCTGATTTTAAACTATTGGGATATTGAAAATCCAAAAATGGACCAATTACTATAATCCCTCATGACTCACCCAACTTTAAATGAGAATAAGACAAAATAACAACAAGGAAATTAAATACATATCAAAGAGTTTGTTGGTTTAGATTGATTATAAACCAGACAATAGTCACTTGAGAGTATACATTATTAAAAAAATGACAGAAAATAATTCTATTGAACAAAATATAAACAGCAAAGGAGGTAACTTACACCAGTTACCTAACAAAATTAGATAACACATTTGGGGAAAGGAGAACCATATTGACTAAATTGTTACATAAATACACTGGAAGTTGATCTGAACTTGAAGTAGTCTGAGTTGGAAGTTGGACTGAGAAATGTTAAAAAAAATGTAACTAGTACATGATGTCTTCTTAAGAATTTCTATATAATAAGGAAATAAACAGGTAGGAAAATGTTGTTTTTGAAATTAATATTGCATATCCAACCTACTTAACAGAAGAAAAATCTAAAAAATTATTTCCAAACAATATTTAAACAATTCCACAGTTAAGAATCATTATAATCTTGTCATCAAACTGATTTGTAATATTTTTATTCCTCCTGTTATATTTTTATCTGTGAAATATTCTACCATGCACATTTTTGTACAAATTATTCCATTTTAGACCATTCCTGTAACCCTAAAACTTCCACAATAATTACTTTGAAAAGTTGAAATAGATTTTAATTTAATGTTAAATAAGTACTGGTTATCAACGCGTTTTCTACTACATACAAAATTATCGTATGTGATATACCACAAAGTTATGACTTAACTAAACTAAAGACATGCATATTAATTTTATTATAATTAATTTTATATTATTTATTGGCATGAATAATAGACTGAGTATGCAGGTATCAAATGAAAGAGTTTCATTCTGGTTCTGCATTAATGCACAAATAATTATGTGACCATTACATTAACATACAAACTGCATATTTTAACCTATGAGTGAAAAATTAAGTGATGCCTTGTAACGTTGATAAACACTCAATTAAAACAAGTACCTACAAAACTAAAGTGACATTGCAGTCAACTTATGAACCAGAACTAATTACCGATTTTTCAGAGCCCGGTTTGTTTCATATTTTGTACAACCAGTCAATAGCTCAGGTTGTACACAAACCAGTTGCCAAGCGCCAGTGAAAGCTAAGTCTGCTGCAGCATTTGCTGACTATAGGTCAAGGTCTCCTCCTTGCTGAGTCTGCTAACATGCAAAGATTCAGTCAGCAATACAAGTTTGTAAACAATATATTCATGTAATTTATGATGTAGATGGAGGAATTATTTATTTACACATGTAAGAATCATGGTTACCTTTACTAAAACAAATTATATTTACCCCTTTTCAATTTTTAATTGAGCTGAATCAAATATTCTGAGCAAAGGATTTCTTATTTGGGGTTCTATAAAATTAAATTAAACCAATAAAATTCATTCGAGGTCCTTCAGTTTATCTCAAGCAGATTTTTGAAAATCATATACAACTCATTCCGTATACAGATATAATTTAATTTAAGACTAGTCTGTTTAAAGTAGTAAATTCATAGTGTACACAGCTAATACTACCTCAGGAACAATGGTCAACAATGGGAATCTGATTTTGTACTAATTGTACCATGATGAAATACATAAGGTGGAAATTGATTGTTGAAATTATATAAACAGAAACCGAACCACCTGATAATGTTCAGCATAAATTGTTTGAAAAATAAGTTTGATGAAATATATGTTTGCATCGCATGCTCAAAATTATAGCATGTGACTTTAATGTCTTAGGCTCAAGGATTTCCCAGAATTGTTAACATAAACAAAGATAGGGATTTGAATCACTATTTTCTCTTGATAGAGACTCTGCAGGATGATTGATGGTATTGTATACTACACCTTTTCCACTTTTATTTCAGAATAGTCATTTGTATTTTAGAAATGGCAATTTGTATTTCAGATGTAAGATTTTAATTTTAGAAATCGTCAATTGTATTTCAGAATAGTAATTTTAATTTCAGAAATCATCACTTTTATTTCAGAAATTATAGTTTATATTCCATAAATGATTATTTGCATTTCAGAAGATATCAATTGTATTTCAGAAATAATTTGTGTTAACAACTTTGTCATCAGCTTTAGGATTTAGCTATGAATTCGTTACGAGAAAAAAAACCTTCAGTTAGTATAATTTTGGTAGGTATCATAGGATGTGATTCAACTCGGAAAAAATATCTCATCAGGCCCTGGTCAAATCAGGAAAAAATCTTGATAAACGGCTGAATTTTCTAGGCTAACCTAATTAACCTAAACTTAACCCTGGGCTTCTTATAATTAACTTTTAATCAGATCCGCTACGACTGTGCAAAATTGTCTAATCGATCATTTCTGAAATACAATTGATTTTGTCTGAAGTACATTTGACTAAGCCTGAAGTATATGTGACAATCTCTGAAATACATATGACTACTTCTGAAATTCAATTGATGTGCTCTGAAATAAAAGTTACTTGTCTGGAATGCAAATGATACTTTCTGAAATAAAAATGATAATTCTGAAATACAATTGATGCTTTCTGAAATAGACTTGACACTTTCTGAAATAAAATTAGAAAAGGTGTAGTTTTGTCTACGATTATTGCTTTTTGTACAAATGCAAAAGTCTATTACTTACAGTATATCGTACGAATGCACATTTACGCTGTTATCTTTTGAGACAACTTTTACCTTTCTTCTGATATTTTTTGCTTCATTTTGTACCCAAAAGTTTGTGCCGTTTGCCGTTTGTGAGTTTAGGTACATAAGTGACTTTTATTATTAAAATGTCCTGAATTGGATTATTGTAAGGGTGATGGCTAAAGGGCTTGGGGGCTTCAGTTTCAGTTAATTTATCCAAGCAGGAACCCCATTAAAAAGTAGTTGCACATAGACAAGTCTGGGGAAAGAGGACAATTTATTTTATGTTACCCCAGGAAAACTATACAAATGATTTTCATCGAATCTATCATGCTGAAACCATGCTCATTAATAGTAGGAAGGAAAGAATTTTTATCTTTTGAGTCATCCTGGGCTGGTCAAATTGTTTATGCAATGTTGGCTAAAGTAGATGGCACCAAATTGGTCAAATATAAGCAGGTGATAAAACCCATTGAGAATTCAGAATTCGCCATTATATCCTTTCTCATCAGACGGTTTTCACATATCACTCTGGTGTGACAACTAAACTACACAATTTATTGGTGATGGTGGTTGTTGCAGTTCAGCACACAAATGGAAGTTCTGGAAGAGGCGGCGCCACCTCGTTACCTTCCTGGCGTTCCTGGGGTTCTTCAACGTCTACACCCTCCGAGTGAACCTCAGCGTAGGTATCGTGGCGATGACTTCCCCCTACAACGTCACGCTCCAGAATGGTACTGTCGTGCAGGTCAGTGTTATCATTTAGATTTGTTGGTTAATTATGTTATTGATTTAATTTATGCACCGAGGTGCGTTATGCTAAGACAAATGGAAGACGAGTGTTGAATAAATGGAATTATAGCTTTTGTTACTTGTTACCTTTTGGTTTTTGTTTTGAAGTAAACCTCTTGATTCAAAAGGTTGCTGTTTTACTATGACAAGACCATTCATTAGAAGCCCAAAAATCCAAATCGGCTGGATCTAGTTTTCAACAATCGAAAAGCTACTGTCTTTTCTCAGAACCAAATATTTTTTTGCAGATACATGGAAACTAAATATTAGATAGTGAAAAAGATTACTGCCGGACTTAAAGTCTATTGTCTCAAATATATGCAAAAAACACACCCTTCCTTTATCTTCTCAGTATTACCGGTAATCAACAACTTAAGATGTATAATTAGATAAAGTAGCAAAAATAGGTAATGTAGTGCTGCTACACTGAACTATAACAATTTATTCTCCACTATGTCCTGTCATGAAAATTGGTTTTAATTTTGATGACTTTCTTCTTGAGATGGAAAACATTTCTATTTCCACTAAGGTAGAACTAGTGCTTGCAATCAAGCATGTTTAGTACCGTACAGGAATTTTGTTAGTAGCCTACTGTACAACTCAAAATACTGGGAATTGACCAATTGACAAAATTACTTCCTCCCTTTTACTTTCCTTAACAGTTGTTTCTATTTTAATAAAGTGTGGTCCAACTGAACATTCTGGAAGTACATGAAATTACTTACTTTTGTCTTTACTTCCTCAATCATAAATATAACGGTAAACTATGTAAACTGAGCTCATTCTCTTTAAGTACAAATAATTAATTACAAATAGTTTTGATCTTATAGGGATCTTAAATAATATCTGCTATTTCAATAATCAATCTTTTAAAGCCCTGTTAACACCATACAATTTACAACAATTATGTTTTCAAACAAAAGCTTACAACAATCCATAGAACACTAGTATATTAAAAACATTTTGATATTAATTTTTTTTTGTTTACAAAAGAAATTTAGTTTTCAACAAAAAGTTAGAAACCTTTGTTGAAACTTTGTTTTAAGTCCCCTAGTTTCATTTTAAACATCAGTGTCGATTTGGAGGCTGTATGGTCAATTGACCTTAAGTCTTGCCTTAAGTTGGCTTTCTTAAAAATCCGAATAAAAACTATTTTCTACAAATCCAGTTTCTTGCACAACAGATTAAATACAAAGAAAGGATTTCCAGTTACGATTTATCCTTTTGTAAGCTACGATGTGGTAGTCAAACAACTTAAATTACTTGAACTTTTAAATTAAATTACTAAAAAAGTCTAGATCATTTTAAATGACCACAATTTGAACTATTTGTTTAAAATTACTATTACAGAGTTATGTAGCTATGTGAATGGGATCTAAGGGGGGAAGATATTGACAAGTTAAAATCGTAAATTGAAACTTAAGTATTTTTTCAGATGCGAGATTTTGACTGGGACTCTAAGCTGCAAGGGGTGGTGCTAAGTTCCTTCTTCTATGGCTACATCTGCACACAGCTGCTGGGAGGTTGGCTAGGTGCAAGGATGGGTGGAAGTAGGGTATATGGGGTGGGGGTAGCAGTGACAGCTGCCTTTACACTCATCACACCTCCTGTAGTCAACGTCAGCGTCTACCTGCTGCTGGCCATCAGGATCATCGAGGGATTGTTTGAGGTTAGAAACTGCTTGCATTGGATTTTTGAGGTTAGAAACTCTTTGAAGGGAATCACAGGAAAAGGTACAGACAGAGTCGATGTGGACGTTATTTAACACAATAGGATTCACTGAGGATACCCCATTATTTTATTAACATAGTCTGAAATGATTGAATGGAAATAACTATCCCGCTGATGTCCTCCTACAGCGTCACAAAATAATGGTATCATGTTAATACATTACTGAGATCATATTATTTTTGTAATGTTGACTGAACTATTACTAAAACAGCGCTAAAAGTCTCTTAATTAACAGCGACCAGCTGAAGTGCACTGGAAGAGGAAGTATTAGATGACAAAAATCATTAATATTTCACCTACAGTAGACTCCCTCTTATACAGACACCTTTTAACCGGACTGGGGACTACACTCGGCGGAAATTACATCTCTTTAACCGGAAAATTTGTATCAGCACATTGGCTTAACCGGACTGGATCGGCAGGAAGTGGGTGGTACTGAAACGACTGTTTTCGTGGGAAAAATTTGAGACCATTGATCACATGTCTAAATACAATGCTCTCCTAAATTTAAGCCAAATACTGTATACAGTATGCATTTAAACGGTCCGTTTTAACGAGTTTTTGGGGACGTCAGTTTTACCAGAAAAACCGTTATCCAGACTGGCCTCGGTCCCGAGGAGTCCGGATAAGAGGGAGTATAGTGAAAAGCTAAAGGAACGTTCCTGGTTTAGTTTATTATTTCAAAGTTTCTCATTTTTCTAGTACAGAGGATTAACTGACCAGGGGTCTCGTGAGTTTGGTAAGAGGATGGTAAAGAGCCTCCCCCCTATAGAATCTTTAAGCATGAAGTTCTCAAAAACGAAACTGTAATGTATTTTTTTCAAGACAAGATGTTGAACACAAGACTAGAGTAGTCAATCAACTAGCATGATACAGAAATTAACTTATTTACTTTATTCTTTCCCACTCTGTTGGCGACCGTGATGGCTTGTTTGAGATTTCAAACCAACTTTAAAACCTATCCAGTCAGAAGCTAATGATAGAGAAGATAGTGACGAAGCTTTTGTCAGCATATATTCCTCTAAGGTGCTCCCTTACACTTCTGAATTTTACAGCTTTTGTCCACACTAAAGTCCATGTGAATCCGGGCGTGTCTAGCCTTGTGTGGTTAGAATGAAGACCTCTATCATCCTGGAGAACTTTAGTGAAATCTGACTAATCAATCACCAATGTTAATGACATATAATCATTGTTTGGAACATATTTTATATCTAGGTCAGCATCCTATCCTATCAGAGCTATCTTGCTGATCATTTGTACCATCTGCAGGGTGTGACATATCCATGTATCCACGCAGTCTGGTCTCGCTGGGCTCCTCCCCAGGAACGCTCCCGGATGGCTTCCATTGCTTTCTCCGGAAGCTTTGTTGGAACCGTCGTGGCACTTCCGGTCTCTGGCATCATAGCAAACACACTCGGCTGGCCCTGGATATTCTACATCACAGGTCGTTGCAGATTTCCAATCATAAATTCTACTATGATTCTTAAACTGAAGTGAATTTTTAATTTAATACAACATTTTTGTTATAGGTAAGAACTTAGCGTTCCTTCTACTAAAAACACTTAATTTCTTCGCTCACACAAGCATTTAGCTCTTCTGTCATGAAACACAAAAATATACTTTAGATGTAAAAGAAAAAAAGGATTATAATCGGTAGAACTAATTTCAAAGCATACTTGACCTTAAACAACTGAATTGAAATAGTTTATAAACACCAACTCAATAAGAGACTACACCACCAGCCCAGGCTTGCATAGTTTTCTGGTTGGTAAATCTTGATCTACATAAATTTAATTATAGGTTTTAACAATGATCACTACGCAAGCGATAGGGAAAACTTGTACACCAGGGTAATTATTTCCTCTTCTCTCTTTACTTCTCCAACTTACAATTGTTACCTATACAACAGTTTAGTGAGATCTCTGACCTAAAACGTAATAATAATTATTTAGCCTTGTGGCTTGACATAGCTATAAGAATATAACAATAGTAAGAGTATATTAAGATATTAGATAGTAGTAGTTCTAGGATGGTAAGAGTATAAGAATAGTTTCTTACAGTTTCTCTGGTAGGTTCTTTGGACATACATTTTTCTAACAATCGCCTACAAATAAAACCCCAGATCTGTATAAAAGTTTTTTTTCACAATCGTGTTGGGTAAGATAATGTTTTAACAAAAAAAGTTATATTACTGTTGGTTGCAGGTTTCTTTGGCCTAGTGTGGTGTGCGGTGTGGTGGACGGTGGTTAAAGACAATCCCGATGATGACCCTCATATTAGCCCTGAGGAGCTCAAGTATATAAAAGAATCCCTGGGCACCACAGACACTTCCCTCAAACATGTGAGTATTGTATGAGCTTGAAAATTATTGTTTGATTTAAAGAATAATCAAATGTGTTTTAGTATTTTACCTAACCCGCCATGGTAAACTTCACTATCCCAAGCGTGATGTATACAACTTCTTTACTTCACGAGTGAAGTATGATTTCAAAAACTCACCCGGTGAGGTAATGAAACCCATTTAAATAACATTGAGTGCTCAACTTAAAAAAATATACCTCTATGGAGTCTATGGACGTTTAACGCTATAAATCAGCTGTGCGCTTAAATTTTATTGTTATGGTTTAAAGAATTATCCTAACCTAGCTTTTGTTTGTAAAAGAACGTTTCTGTTAGAAGATGAGTGAAGTAGATGATGAAAAATATTGTACGTAACCCCCTGTATATTGTCGGGTCAGGTAAAATCTTGTATGTTACACATTACGCAAGAGCGTGTTTACATCACTTAGGTGAATTATGACTTTGCTTGTTGCACAACATTCACCTGCGTGATGTAAAAACGCTCTTACTACACTCGTAACGTAAATAGCCATTACCTCACTTCAAAAAGTACCTCAGTTATAATAACACCATCTCAGATGACTATTTTGGTCAAGGGTGCCACAGAAAATTGTACAGGAGGGTGACTTACCTAGGGCCAGTTTAAGAAAGAGGGGGGTCCAGGGGTCCTCCCTTGGATGTTTTTAATGATCAATAGTTCAAAAGATTATCTAACCTGGTTTTTTTACTATCCTAGATATCATCTCAATCGACTATTTTTATTTTATTTTTGACAGTGAAACATTTTCACAAGATCATGTGTACGGTATTGATAAATATCTAAATTTTCACTACATGTTTCATGAAGTTTTCTTAAAAATTAAAACACAAAGTTTTCTTCATCATCTCTTATTTTGTTGAGTTCTTTCTTTTATCAATGCTCTAGCACTTCTGAATTTTTATATTTCAGATTAAACATCCGTGGAAGAAGTTCCTCACATCAATGCCAGTGTGGGCAATCGTTGCTGCTCACTTTTGTGAAAATTGGGGCTTCTATACACTCCTGACTCAACTCCCTACATTTATGAAAGGTGATTTATATATATTTAAAAAAATTTACAACATTATATCAACAAAATTGGCGTGTTTCAATAGATTTTGTTAAGAATTTCGTCAACTATGTTTTTATAGCCTGGAGATCAATTAAAAATCTTCTAAATTGCTATGGTTTTGAACCCTAGCGAGATAGTTTCTGGATCAAGATGCTATTTTTGTCATTGGCCTATCAATTAATAACTAGTGTACATGTTGCTCGAATTCGAGCAATTGCAAAGTATTTCAGGAGTTATTACAAAACGAATAACAGTCATATTTACAATGAGTTTAAATGAGTCTACTCAAAGATTACCAGTGTGTAACTCATGGAGATACTCACGATTTATAAAACAGTAATCAACATTTCCTGTAAATATTATTGTTATATATATATTTCATAACCTGGTGTTGCTTTTTAATGTTTTCTACAAACATTTCCTGACTTATAGCCATATAGGTTGTCCATGTTTATCTTCGTTATTGATAAACCTAAAGCATTCCGGCTGGTTTTCTCCTTCTCAAAATACCTCGCTGTACAGGCAACACAGGTCATTGATAGAGGGCCAATTGAGAACAAAGAGTCGTTTTGGGGTAGTGTTAGGGAGCATTTGTAACCTAATAGTTGAGATTTTCCCGGGTCAGGTGCTGACTGTGATGAGTTAAGCCTATTACGCGCCACTGTTCTGTAGCTGCTGCGGTCGTTATCATGATTACGCCTCCTGTCTATGTTTCGTTGTCGTCGCGCCGGAGGCATTTAAAAGAAAAAACAACAAATAAAGTTGTAGCTACACAAAACAACGATAACTGCACAAATTTAAGTTACAATCATGCTAACACGGTCCGTCATAGCAACACAAAACAACGATAAATACACAAATTTAACATACAACCATACTAACACGATCCCTCTTGGGGGTTATGTTGACACAAACTCAAATAGTAAATAAAAGTACTCAATGCGTTTCATTGAATTAAAAAAAAAATAACAGCAATTAAATTATACAGCTGATCAAAATGTAAACAATTATGTTCTTCATAAGGATAACAAATAACATGGGAACTTTTAAAGCCACTGGGGCAGAGCCCAAGGGACTTTAATAAATGTAAGGCCAGTTTGCAAATCCACGCGACACGCTCAGATAGTAATAAGTTGCATTGAGCTAGACATCATGAAATACCTTTTCTCAAAAAAAAATAAAATAAATAAAAAAACATGAAAAATGTGCCTGGAACAAATCCAACAAGAAATTTTACAAATCAAAACCAGGCTAGAGTTTTGAATGTTAGTTTCCTTTACTAATTATGGTAATTTTACAGATACCCTGAACTTCCAGCTAGAGAAAGCAGGGTTCATGTCTTCACTGCCTTACCTAGTAATGGCAATCATCATGCAGTTTGCTGGCACACTAGCAGATTGGCTACAGAATACAAACATCCTCACCACTACACAGGTTAGTACTTGGTTGTTGATGTGGAAAAGTCTATTAGAACATATTCGAGGGTTGTCCTTAAATTAAGGTTCTCACCAAGCTCCCTATGTGATCAAGTTGTTCAAATCTGACTCCAAAACAGTTTTTTAATTAGTCTGTTTCCACCTCGATGCAACAATTAGTCTCGTCATAGTGGCTAAAATGTATGCTGGCTTCAACTATTTATCATTCTTGTTTTTGGTAGTGTAAGGAAAAATGTGGTAGCACGGTGGTCAGCCACTACTGGTGGCGCGAACAGCTAAATGCACTGCGAGGATGAGTGCGTGAAAAAGTTTAAATTCATCCAAATGAGAGGCATATATATATAAGTATTGGAGGGGGAAAGCAGGGGTGAAGTACCAAGAAACACCATAAAAAAGCGCAAAAAAGCGGTCAAGCACAATCTTGAGGTTACGTTCCTTCCACAATGCTACGCAGTACATTCATTATCCTCATTCTATTGCATGTCATTAGATCCAAGCCAAACCCCCACACTACAATAAATTTGTAACAATCCATACCACCGATAAAATAGTTGGATCTGAAAACAAATTGTACCAGTATATAAGTATAACTCTGGCACAATAAGCGGCAAGCAAAACGTCTCACGGCAGTGGCTAACCTCACAATGGAACAATAGTTTTGTAAATGGCGCTTTGACGAAAATCACCTTGACATGCGCCGCTGGAAAGAGCCAGCAGTGACAAGATTACTCGTCATCCACAGTGAAGGTGTTAATAGGAAAAGAATAATGAATATTGTAAGCAGAAAAACAACCCATTTTAGCGAATTTCCCTATAGGGAAGTATTAGCGAATTTCCCTATAGGGAAGTAGCTATTACCGTAGGTGGCACGGTAAGACCTAGACCCGGGACCGATTTACTTTTTCATTTTGATGTCCCTAGAGGCCAAAAACACCATTCGTTCAAATTTGTATATATGTTTATATATATATACGTCCGTGAACGCGATAACTTGAGTAATTTTTGTCCGATTTTGATGAAATTTGGTTTAAAGGTGTAAAGCGGGGCAAACTTTAATGAGATCGCGAACCAGCATGATCGGACCATGGGAACGGGGCTTTACGGGGGGTTTTATGGGGTAAAAATTGGTTTTTATCACTTTTGACCTAAAAACACAAAATTTCCCAATTTCTCTTTAGACCTTTTTAAAGAGCTTAAAAAAACAAATAATTTAGTGTATAAAAGTATTTTTGTTCGGTTATTAGTAACGGAGAAAATTAAAAAATTGTAAATTTAAAATTCCCATGTTATTCTTATGGAGAATATTGTCAAATGTTGTAGTTTGCTTGTTTATGGATATATTTTGATCAAACTTGGCAAATTTATTTATTTTGTACTAAGCTGTCAATATTTTACTCAAAACACACTTTATTAGTTTCCTTGTAGCAGCAAACCTAGATACTCGTTAAACCTAATGTTATTAAAATATATTTAACTGAAAATCAATTCAGACAAATGGAAATCCGCTTAGTCGGCAGGGGTATTTTACTAAAATTTTGTTCAACCTTTTCACCATAATATACAATAAAACTAACTAATCAGTTGAGTATCCATAGGCATACTAAGCCAATCCCTGACGAATGTGAATTGCGCAGGTGAGGAAACTGTTCAACTGTGGGGCCTTCATCAGCCAGACAATCTTCATGTTCCTGGCGGGGCACTTGCTGACACCGGCGGGGGTCACAACATGCCTAGTGTTGGCTGTGGGGCTCGGAGCGTTTGCCTGGCCTGCCTTTAGGTTTGTTCTTTCATATATTGATTGGTAGTCTCAACCGTTAAGTAATTTCAATCTCTTCGTCTCCTAAAACGCGCTTTAACATGTTATTTACTTGAATTGTTATTTCTGAAATTGTTTACTAAAGGAGATACTATATAGTTGAAAACTGATTAAATATAGAATGTTCTCTAAATTGTTTGACACAGTCCCAGTTAATTGCACTTCACTTTTTCAGTGTCTATGGTACAGTAAAATCTATGTTTCTGTTTCAGCGTGAATCATCTAGACATAGCTCCACAACATGCAAGTGTTCTCATGGGTCTATCCAATACGTTTGCAACACTGCCGGGAATATTGAGCCCTCTTATCACTGGATACATAGTGACCGACAAGGTATGAGAATGTAGCGATGTACCTTACCAACATTGCAAAGAGTTAAGTAGATAGAATCGCTAGAAGTGGGAGATTAGACTTGTCTTTAATTTCACATATTAGAAACACCTGTTTACGACTGATTCACTACTGTTCACAGATTCATATAGGACAAGGGGGATGGTCGCCTTGAATACGGAATAAAGAACACTAGTAAAACAAAGGTCAGAGTGAGACAGAACTTGGCAGGATAAGTTGACCGCACTACTATCTTCACGGATTTATATACTGATTCGGAAACCATATGTCTGAGCAGCTTTAAGTGTGCACAATATGTTCAAGGGATAAAACTGTAGTGCGGTCAACTAGTTCCGCCTCACTCTTACCTACATTTTACCTCTGTACCTTGAATTTGAAAATGATTCACCTCTAAATTTGTTCTCTGTTACTTAAATTTAAGAACGACTGCTAACTCAAATTATGGTTCTCAGCAATAAATGTAAACGAAAGAAATGTTGCAGTTCCATGAATTTGAGTTAGCGGATCTACTGCAGTCAGGAAATCATTATAACCAATTAAATCTGTTATCCAGAGTGCAGATCAGTGGCAGATGGTGTTTTACATTGCCAGCACCATCTATCTGCTTGGAGCGTTGTTCTACGGAACATTCGCATCAGGAGAACGACAGCCCTGGGCGCTGGACGACAGCAAACAATCAACACCACCTCCGGCCCTCAAGAATGAAAACCATGCTTACGTCAACAAGGCCTTGTCTGATGATAATGTATGATGTTTAGGATTAATTAAATTTTAATTATTTTTGTACACGGTGCTTGTTTTTTTGCCTGCATATTTTGTCTCATTTGGTTTGTGAAAAGGAAACAATGATTATGTTCATTGTTGTGTTGTGTTGGGTAATTTTCACGCAAATAATAACCAAAAATAACTTTTAAAGGTGTTGAAACAATTCTTCATGGCTGGAACCAAACGCTAAATCTAAATGTAAATAGTGTCGAGAGGAAAAATGATAGAATGACCAATAAAACAGTAAAAATATTGCTTTATTATATTAGTGTAGATGTTAATACTAATATACAATAAATAAAACCAGTGATTTCAGGTTATAGATTTACAGTATATACAGTTAAAAATATTATGTACATGGAGTATATCACAGGCTAAAATAAATGTACAGGAAGTCAAAATATGTATTTCATACAGGGGCTACATTAAACTAATGTAAAGGAACACAAGATTTTGAACACAAACACAATCAAACAGAAAACGGAAGATCAACTTGAAGTGACTCTGGTCCACTTGAGTTTATCAACCGGAGCTACTTGTCCATGTTGAAAGGGGCAATCCTTCTTGGTGCAGTAAAGGCCGAACCTGCAGGGCTGAAAAAAAAAACGCCAAACTACAAAAACATGTTGAGATGAGATTAATGCAAGGTCTTCATCAGCCTAATTTGTTAATTTGGTAAACAAATTTTCAGCTAATAGATACAGATACAGAGTATTTAAAAATTGAGAACCAGCTATTAACAGTTGAGACGTAAACTTCTAGTCATTTTTAAACAGCCAGTTTTATGCTGTGATAAAATTTAGAAGTGTGCGAGGGGGTTAATTTTTGAACCGACATGCCTAGCCTACATGCTCAAAAGATCAATCACAAAGTCAAAAAATCTATTTATAGTCTGCGAAGATTGAAAAATTTATGCTTTTGTGAATGACGGTGATAAAGTTTCTGTCATCACAGGAGACTATGATGATTTTTATGGTCAGGAGGTTTGCCCTGGATTTTGTCACCCACAGAAAACTATAATGATATCTGCATGACCGCAGGTAAACATCTAGGATTTTGCTCAAGAAAATGAAATCAACAAGAAACAAAATATAAATATACAACTTACAAATCTGAAATTCATGTTAAAATTCCAAGAGAAAAATCCTAACCCAAAAAGTCCAAGTACAAAAATTCTTAACAGTAAATGTAAACTATTTCAATTTCAGTTTCAACCCTTACTAAAGGGCCCTTTTTATGAGTTCTTTCCCTGTAATAGGTCTACATAGACTTTTCACTTACCCTAGCTGGGTGAGAGAACTGGCAGTGTATGTTGGTACAGTTAGGGAAGAACTTACAGGGAGGAGCACTAGCAGCGTACAGTGCCTTAGCTTTGGGTGCTACTACTGTTTACACGACAAAACATATTATTAAACAAAAATATAGACAAACAAATCAACTTGCATACTTTTACTGATTTTAAACAAGTGCCGGATTTACCACTAGGCTGACTAGACACATAACAAATTGAAAGAACAGGATACTCACGTCATCTTTGCTAGGATTAGGGCCCCAAATTTTTTAAAAACTAAAATTGAATTTTTATTTTTTGAAATCAATAATTAAATAGCCACGATTGCTGGTGATGACAATGATGTCTCCATTACCTCAGAGAAGTTCCACCTAAGGAGCGAAGGGCGCTTGGGTTAATTTGGCCTACGGCCGCGAGTACGTTTTTAACTACGCACACAATTTTTCAATTGAATTCTTACTAGGCTATTATCTTCCAATAAAGCTTTCCATACTTGAGTCAGAATTTTATAAGCCTTATAAGTTTAGGCTATAAGTTTATTACCGGTAAATTAAAACATACAAGAATTGAGAAGAAAAAGAAACCATAGCAGATAAAAGTTATAGTTTGGATAGTCTACACAGGAAAGTTGTTTTACAAATAATCCTAAAAACAACATTGAACTCTTATTTATTTTGTGGCTCAATAATGTTTATGAAAACGAAAACATAATTGAAGGCCGGATAGATTCATAATGGTCTACTAAGGGAACATAAAAAACTGTTATCTGATATATTGATATTAACGAATAAAAACCTTTTAGCTATTATATCTGTTATCCTAACAGGAAAACGTAAAGCCTTAAGATTACTTAAGAGAAAATACCATTTTGATTAAAAAGTCAAATATTAGTATAGGGACTAATAGTGATCTGTGAGATCAAAAATATTTTTTTTTTTAATCTTTAAGCCTAAACGTTTGTATGGTTTTAAAGATTCAAATCCAGATTTGACTACATTATCGTTTACCTGTTGGCTGCACTGGTGCTTGGGCATTAGTGTGAGCAAACACACAGTCCTTCCTTGTGCACAAAGCGTTGAACTTACACTGAGGATGGATGTAGAGACAGTCATCACCAAACTTACAATTCGGGAACATGCTGGACAAAACAATAGATTAAAACAACAAAATTATCACAACACAATCATATTTAAATTGTCATAGTTTAAATTGATAGGGTACCTGGAAAATGGAGTAGACCTAGAGAAAACAACACTAACATTTAAAAATTGTTGGTTCTTAAAAGAACCTTCCCATTTATTCTCTTTCACAGATTTCTGAAAACACCACCTCGACACAGATGCCAAAATATACCGGAACTTACTTGTTGTTTTTTCTAAGCCTCTTTCAAGCTACAACATTTTGAAGGTAGTACAGTTTGCTTCAATACTAATAAATCCTATTGTTTTAACTGATCTTGTACAGGACTTAAGATTTTCAACTAGTGATAGTCGGATCCGGATATCGGACTACCGGATCCGAGCTAGAACCGGCACCCGATCGGATACAAAATATTCCGGATCTTGGGCTGGATCCGGTTTTGATGGATCCGATTTTTTAAAATTTTTCCCGATTTTTTTCCTAACACAAAGCTGTCTGTATCCATGTAAGAGACCGATTTCCCCCCGATTTGTTTACTAACACAAAGCTGTCTGTATCACTGTACAACCCCGATTTGTTTACTAACACAAAGCTGTCTGTATCCATTTACAAGACTGTTTTTTCCCCGAGTGTTTGTCTCTTGATGCAAATAACTTATATGGCAAGGCCATGTCTCAGTGTTTGTCTCTTGCTGCAAATAACTTATATGGCAAGGCAATGACTCAGTGTTTGTCTTTTGATGCAAATAACTTATATGGCAAGGCCATGACTCATTGTTTGCCTCGAGATGCAAATAACTTATATGGCAAGGCCATGTCTCATTGTTTGCCTCTTGATGCAAATAACTTATATGGCAAGGCCATGTCTCATTGTTTGCCTCTTGATCCAAATAACATATGGCAAGGCCATGTCTCAGTGTTTGTCTTTTGATGCAAATAACTTATATGGCAAGACCATGACTCAGTGTTTGCCTCGAGATGCAAATAACTTATATGGCAAGGCCATGTCTCAGTGTTTGTCTCTTGTTGCAAATAACTTATATGGCAAGGCCATGTCTCATTGTTTGCCTCTTGATCCAAATAACATATGGCGAGGCCATGTCTCAGTGTTTGTCTCTTGATGCTAATAACTTATATGGCAAGGCCATGTCTCATTGTTTGCCTCTTGATCCAAATAACATATGGCAAGGCCATGTCTCAGTGTTTGTCTATGCTGCAAATAACTTATATGGCAAGGCAATGACTCAGTGTTTGTCTTTTGATGCAAATAACTTATATGGCAAGACCATGACTCAGTGTTTGTCTCTTGTTGCAAATAACTTATATGGCAAGGCCATGTCTCATTGTTTGCCTTTTGATCCAAATAACATATGGCAAGGCCATGTCTCAGTGTTTGTCTCTTGTTGCAAATAACTTATATGGCAAGGCCATGTCTCAGTGTTTGTCTCTTGATCCAAATAACATATGGCAAGGCCATGTCTCAGTGTTTGTCTCTTGCTGCAAATAACTTATATGGCAAGGCAATGACTCAGTGTTTGTCTTTTGATGCAAATAACTTATATGGCAAGACCATGACTCAGTGTTTGCCTCGAGATGCAAATAACTTATATGGCAAAGCCATGTCTCATTGTTTGCCTCTTGATGCAAATAACATGGCAAGGCCATGTCTCAGTGTTTGTCTCTTGTTGCAAATAACTTATATGGCAAGGCCATGTTTCAGTGTTTGCCTCTTGTTGAAAATAACTTATATGGCAAGGCCATGACTCAGTGTTTGTCTCTTGATGCAAATAACTTATATGGCGAGGCCATATAAGTTATCTAACTTATTGAGTTATCTAAATTATTAAGTTATATAACTTATCTAGCAAGACTACAAGATCGCGCCACTCATCCTACACTCATCTCCATTCATACTTGGCTTAAAATACCTACTTTGTATGGTCGCCATTTCAAAGAAAAGTATTTAAAGTATTTAAAAGCATGACTCAAATTTTGTCTCTTGATGCAAATAACTTATATGGCAAGGTCCGTTCTTGGACTCAGTGTTTGTCTTTTGATGCAAATAACTTATATGGCAAGGCCATGTCTCAGTGTTTACCTCGAGATGCAAATAACTTATATGGCAATGCCATGTCTCATTGTTTGCCTCTTGGTGCAAATAACTTATATGGCAAGGCCATGTCTTAGTGTTTTTCTCTTGTTGCGAATAACTTATATGGCAAGACCATGACTCAGTGTTTGTCTTTTGATGCAAAAACCATGATATAGCATACTCAAGATCAAACTATAGTAAAATAACTGCGTTACTTAGTGCATTTTATGATTTTGAAAATTGTTAGTGTCCCCAAAAAATGAGGGATTATGGGCTCAACTGGAGATTACTCTATATATAAGATGTACTAACCTTTAAACATTATCAATTTAATTTTAAACAGTATGATTTAAATTGGCATTCTGTTAATTACGTTTTTTTTTAACCCGCCCTTATGACAGTGTGTATCTGGATCCGGATCCGAAGATCCGGGTCCGAACTTTTCAAGATCCGGATCCGGTACCGACATTTTCTTGGCCCATCACTATTTTCAACTTACTTGCAAGGCTTGGTGGGATGATAGTAAGTGCATTTATCCCCCAGACGACAAGCAGGCCAATACTTGCACTTCTCGGACTTGGATCTCAATATCTCTACCTCGATTAGATCTGAAATAAAACAAGAACTGTATTAAAACAACTTTTAAATACTGTACTAATCTATCCTTTGAAAATGGTCCGATGGAGCTTGATGCTGTGTTGAGGAGGCTTGTAGCAGAGCGAGGTTCCCCGGACAGTGAAACCGAGGTGATGTTTTAGTTTCACATTTTGTAGCCCCTTCTCAAAATTTATCAGAACAAATCATTCTCGTGCATCATGATCTGCTTGACACATGCCATGCACATGCATCTAAAGCCAATGTAGACAGACAAATACAAGTTCAAAGATGCAATTCATATTAAACCGTTTGTGATTGGTCTACTAATAGTATTGAAAACTCTATTTATAGGCCAGTCAAAAAGTTATCACCGATCAAAACTAAATATTTTTTAAACTGTATTATGAACATATATTTTTGTCAAAGTATACAAAATATTTAATAGTTACTGTACCTACTTTTTTGTAGATCGAGCTTACATAATTTACCATTTTACGTTTTTTCCCTTAAGAGTCATTGGAGGCTAGCAGCCATCTTGGATAACTTCAAACAGCTGCTCAAGATTTATTTATGGCTTAGAAATATTTTTGAAACACTAAAGTGATTATAATTTAAATATCTACTATCTAGTAAACTGTTAGATTATAAATGTTATGTAGTTTTGAATTTTTCTCCAAGGGAGTCCAAGGAAGCTAACGGGCATCTTGGATTTGCCCGCTATAAGAGGAATGTTAATTTTGTTAATTTCAAACAGCCGCTGATAAGTTATTTACGGTCCAAAATATATTTTCAAACACCAAAGTGATTGCAATTTAAATATCAAGTATACTGTGGGATTATAAAATTGTAGTTCTTTAATTGTTGTATTTAAGTTAGAACGTCTAGGCTCCAAGGACTCTTAAACTGTACTCTTACAAGTACCTATAGTAATTAGTGTAACCACGAAACTATATAAATAAAAAAAAATAAAAACTATTAACAACAAATACACTTTGAAAACATAAACTAGAATGGGTGGACAGTCAACATTTACGTACTGTTGTGATTGACTGCAGCTGTTCCAACAATGTTAGACGAGACGTTGACCTCCCTTTTGGACCTCGGAGACTCTACCTCGTCTGGCGTGGAGGTCAACAGAGGCTCCTCGTCATCTTCTATCTCACTCTGGGAGAAAATACCGTCTGGGTCAAATCCATTCAGAGTCACCACAAACTGAGGCTCAGATGTATCACTGCAACACAATGGCATTACTTCAATGTAGCAATTAAATTAGCTATAGTTTTATATAAAGTTATATACAATTTTGATTTTTTAAATGTTCAGAGTCAAATGTTGGACTTATTTATGCCTCAATGTGCTACATTTAAAACGTTAATCACATTAAAAGTTCCACAACACAGTCAAATCCCAAACGTTAGCATTTTCATGTCCGTTAAAGATTGAAACACAAATGATAATTTCTAATTTGAAAATTTACCAAAGCTATTATTTAACCCTCTATCCGCTATGAGTCGCGATCGCGACTATTTTAACCCTATTTAAAACGCTAAAGTCGCGATCGCGATACCTTTTGCAGCGCGTCACTATTACAGCCAGAAAATCAATAATCGTCGCCCGATTTTAATAGTTTTCATATAGTACTGAAGAGAAACAGTCAGTTTATATTTAGAAGGCAGTCGGCAATCCAAAAACGAATATTATCTGTTTTATAAGTCTTTGGATTTTGTGGATTGTTGCCGTTGGTCAGCTGTCGTCTGCCGGCATTGACTGTTGTCTGTTTTGTTGTTGTGTACGACTGTTTTACAATCCTATATAGTGTTTTTGTTTTATTAGAACATTATAATAGAAAAATTATTTATAAATGAGTGAACTAAGCAATTCTAGTGCTATTCGAAATGCGTTGAACGCTTTTGATGACTTAGAAGATCTTGAAAGTGATGCCGACGATCCTGATAGTGACATTGGTCAGAATGGTGTATGTGAAAATTATGAAAGCTCTGATGAATCTCTTCTTGATTTTTCATCTGGAAGTGGGGAAATCTGGAATCCTGGACCTGAAGACTTTGATAGTGATACTTCAATTACTGATGTTAAACAGGCAAGAAATGAAATTTCCAATTGTAGGCCTACCCTATCTCTAGAACTTCCAGCACCTCAGGTGAGTGAGCCTCACAGGCCTAGGCCTAGACCTAGACAAACTGAAGCTGATATTCCTGAAATTGCTCCTAATGATCCTGATGTTCCCCCAGGACAATTTATTGGGCCCATAAATGTAAGCTTGAATCCTAGATGGGTAAGAATATATCCACCTGAACGGGAGTTTGATGTAGAGGAGAAGTTTGAAGTGAGACACCCAGGAATTAGAAATTGCCCACCCCGTAATAGTAACCCTATTGAATACTTTTATCTTTTTTTTAGTAATCTTATTTGGCTGCTGATAGTTAGGAATACAAATGCCTATGCTAACAAAATTATAAACACAAAGAGAAACTCTGGATTGCTTGGGCCTAAGAGTAGGCTAACTAGGTGGGTCGATGTGACTGAAAGGGAAATAAAAAAGTATGTTGCACTAGTACTCAATATGGGGTTGATCAAGAAAAAAAATATAACAGACTATTGGAGCAAGTCTAAATCTCAAGCAACACCTTTTTTCTCTAGTGTTATGTCCCTAAATAGATTTGAAGCTATACGGTCGATGTTCCAAGTCAGTTCTCTTCGTTTTATTCCTAAAGACCAACCTAATCATGATCCTTGGTATAAAGTAAGGTTTTTCTTGGATTCAATGAATGCAGCATTCAAAAAATATTTCATTCCTGAACAGAACATATCTCTTGACGAATCAATGATAGGCATGAAGAATAGGTGTGTTTATATCAAGTACATGCCCAACAAGCGCCATGCCAGATTCGGTATCAAAAAGTTTGAAATTTGCGACAGCAAGACTGGGTATGTTTTACATACTGAACTTTATCCTGGCAAGGGCTTTTTAGAAGGCCAAGATGGAAATGACCCTTTTACTCAAAAGGTAGTTATGCATTTGATGAGAAAGTGTAGTTTGTTGGGAAAGGGATACCATTTGTTCATGGACAATTACTATACCAAGATCCCAGTGACACAAAAGTTATTAGAACACAAAACATACCTAACTGGCACAGTAAATAAAAAGTCAAAAGATCTTTCGAAAAAGGTAATTGAAACTAAATTAGAACCCTTGCAAAGCATTTATTTCAGGAAAAAAGAAATTTTATTGGTAGGTTACAAGCAGAAAGAAAAACGGAAACCTGTATATTTGATTACTACTGGCTGTTACGCTAAAGACGACATTGTAACGAGTAAGAGTGGGAGACAAGCACGTAAGCCAATCCTAATCCATAAGTACAACCTAAACATGGGGGGAGTAGACTCAAAAGATAAATCTATTTACCATGTATCAGGTTCCAGGCAAACAAAAAAATACTGGAAGAAAATTTATGACAACATAATGGACATGGCACTATTTGACGCATGGATTCTCTATTCCAAAAATACCGACAGGCCACTGAATAGGCATGACTTTATTGTAAGTATAATAGAGTCTCTAGTTGAGGGGGATGAAGTTCCTGTCCAGCAAAATGAGAACCCCATGCCTGGCCCTGGAGGGGATATCGGCCATATACTTACTCGGCTTCCAGGTGTAAAACTCCGTAGATGTCTTGTGTGTGCTGCTGAAGGCAAAAAGTCTAGAAGCCATTTTTACTGCCCAGGCTGCAATGGGGGAGTACATCCAGCCTGTTTCCACAAAATGAACCACTTTTGGAGACCAACCAATAGAGGGAGGCCTAGTTTGCATGACAGGGCAGCAGCGGGAAGTGATTCTGACTTAGTATAAGCTGAATAATATTTTATGACATTTTCAAGTTTTATTTGGACCTTTTATGTAAATAGATTTTGTTTTTAGCATAAGGAAGTAAAATGTTTGGATGAAAAAATGACTTTTAGTGCAAAATGAGAAGATAATAAATGAGAGAATAATCTAGACACGATGAAGGCAAAATACAGGGATTTTTAGCCCAAGCGCCCAATTTGTTTTTTGCCTATCAGATACTCTTAGTTACATTTGAACTATAAGTGTTGTACATCATTCTTTTCAGCATAAAATTGTGCTTCTTTTATATGTAATATGAAGTCCCTAATGTCAGTCTTGAAGTGCAATATATGTCACCTAAGATGGAAAATGTTTTTTTTCGACAATATATTTTCAAATTTGACGAGGCTCCTGATACTCCAGAATATGGTAAGTCCATCATGTTTGTCATTAAAATGTTCCTTGATCTATACAGAATAAAATGATATATAATATGTTGGTGTTTTTGGTAATAACTAACTTATAAATTATATGTAACTAAATATAACGCAAAAATGCCCTAAAACCCATAGCGTTTTGGACAAAAATGGTCAGCGGATCTAGGGTTAATTGAAAATGGAATGTAAAACAAATAAGAAAAATAGGTGATTGGATAGTTGAAGACAGCAAGAGAGGGAGAGTAGAAAAGCAAGATGGTCTGAACATGAGAGGAAATTTCAAGACGAAAGAATTGCTAAGAAAATGGAGTTGGTGGTGGTAGAGGGAAGGGGACTGAAAGTATGAATGTAGATAGGATTAGACAGTTTGTTAAGAAAAATTAACTGCATAACAATGTAGATTGTATAGAAAGAAATAGAAAGAGGGATAAGGAGGGATAAAAAATTATAGGCATTGGAAAATGAAAAGAGGATGAGGAATTTTGCAAAATATCAACCTAAGAACGTTTGTAAAATGCAAGTTATTGTCAAAAGCTAACCTGTTCAAATTGAAAATTCCCGGTTCAAAAAAATCAAGCATAATTACCGGTTTTCCCGGTTGGTGGACACCCTGCAATCTAAACTGTGAAGAATCAATCAGCATAAGAACTTATAAATGTGACTTACTCCATTGCTTCATCGGAAAGAAGGAGATCTTGAGATGGTTCTAGATCAATTTCGTCCTCAGCCTCTTCAGTCATCTCTTCTGGTTCAACCTGTTTTGGCTCATCCACATCAATCTCACTCCTCGAGGAATTTTGTGTAGCAACTTCTGCAAAAAGCATAAATTTGTCCCTTGGTATCGAATAAGCTAGGTTGGTATGGTAAGAATTTTTTTATCATCAGATTTCGAAAACTGTGTAAAATAGTATAAGGTATGCAATCACATTTTTATGAAAGAGAAATTTAATGCTGTATATACCTGACAAATATTGGGTTTGAGCAAAGATCCGAATTTGGGTAAAAATAAAGATAAAATGGAGCAAGACTATGTTTTCTTAGGCAAACTTTGTTTATAGTTGGTAGTTTTTTATAGGATAGCTTCATTGTACTGGTTATAACCTTAATATCGTATTTATATTTCGCAATAGTATCTATAAGTTAGTCAATGTTTCAAAAATTTGAATTCCTTCTCCAACTGGTTGGCTAGTTTCAGTCAATGTTTTTCCATTACCTATTGTATTCATTCTGGTTTTTGAGCTACATTTGCTTTTCATACTTTTTTACTAAACTGTACTGAGCTACTGACCATATCAAAACAAGATAAAAGATTATTAAAATGCAGTAGCAACTCAATACAAAAAAATCCAAAACATTTTAAGGATAAGAAGCTTTTAGCAGCAGACAAATGGTTATTATTAGCAAAAAAATGACTTAGTTTTTATAAAGAATCTACAATGCAAAGCCTACCTTGCTCAGACAGATTTAAATCCTTGTTTAAAAGCTCTGGAGGTGGAGACATATTTCTTCCGGATTTGTCTTTTGGTATGGGTGAAACTGAGCGAGCATCATCTTCTTTCGTCTCCAAAGGTCCAGCTAAAAATGGATTTGGATTATAACAGTTTTCCAAATCGAACGTTTAAAGTAGGTATCAATGGCAATTTGTTAGATATGTGCAAGTTCTACGTTTTTCAGTTCCAAACAAACATATTTAAAAAAATATATATATTTCCATGATAGTAAATTTATCGAAGCTTAAGTCTAAACTACTACTACTATTAAGGTGTTAGAAACCATAAGAACTTCAAAATGGCTTCAACATTTAAATGAAGAACTTTTAAAAACTAGCATTATCTAGTACAAAAAAACTCACCAGCCTGTATGGCCAGAGGATTGGTAATCTCTATGGCAATTTTCTCAGGCGGGATTCGCTGTTGTTGACGACGCAGACGGGTGAAAACAGGTTTCTTTCTTCCCAACTGAGAAGGATAAATACGATGAAAATAATGTTTAAATTACTAAAATTATGGGCTAATGTGAAATTAAGTTAGGTATTTTATTCCAAACAAGTTAACAGTTAAAAATGACATGTCCAACATTTATATTAAGGAAAAAACCTTACAGTACAATGGAACTCAGTTTAAAACTGTGACAAAACCAATACAAAATTGGTTCAGCTAAATTCATTTTGTTTTAAGAAATTTCGCCACAATAATTCTAAACTTTGCCTACATTATACTACAGAATTTTAATTACTGCTTTTTAAATAGTAAAATAATAAACCAGCTTGAAGTTGGCTTGAAGTTAGCTTGAAGAAAAACTCCATGATTTAGTGCTTAACTTGTGCTTTATAAAACATTTATACAAACAAAATTTTTGCTCAACATTAATGGCTGCAAAAAACTGTTTGTGGGACTAACTTCATGTTAAGTCCACCGCTAAGAGTTAAACATTTAATTATGAATGTAAATTTAGAGCTCAATTTAGCTAAAAAAATATAAAATTTTGAATGTAAGTTTTTAGCTCAATTTGTGCTAAAAAAATGTAAAATTTTAATAATTCGGGGTCAAAAGACGCCCTAGTTAATAATAGTTTTTAAGAGAGGAAAAGCTTCTGCCAGTGACAACGTCATCCACCTTGCCACATTGAGCAAGTGGGTTAAAACTAAATTGGAGTCAAATTTTACTATTTGGTGCTTGATGTACGCTACAAAAAAGTTTAATAATTTGTCCTCAAAATACATCCTCAATCCTTCTAGACACTAGTTTCCAGCAGTATCAATGACATACGACTAATTTGTAGGGCAGATGACGTAATCACTTCTAGAGGATTTTCCGCATTAACCTAGGGTGTCTTTTTAATATAGAGAAAAAAAAATAGCCTACTATAGTTTGCACTAAATTCAGTTTTAGTGAAACTAATTGAAACTTACATAAATACTAATTAATTTTGTAGCCCACGGATTTATATTGAAACAACAGACTCTAGTAAATAGAGTAGGATAGCAAACAAATTAAAAACAAAATTTTTATAGTTTTTTTAATGACTAAACTATTGTAGAAAGTAACTGATACCGAAAAATTGAGCTTTAATAACTAACGTAAGGTAGGAAATAGTCATTCTTCAGAGGCAAATTATTTTTATTAACTTACATCACAAATAACAACAAAATTCTATAAATATGCATAATGATACAAAAATATAATTGTCAAGATCAGACATATAAATATTAACACTTTCTTTGAAAAAGACATACCATTTACTTTGAAATACCAAAAGTAAAAATCCTCTTACATCCCATGATGCCAGATTTTGTGTGTTTGTTGTACATAAAATAAGTTTTAATTGCTATGATAAGTAACAGTAAATTACTATAAATTACTATAAAAATGCATACCAATACGATGAATTGTACAAAATTCACAAAAAAAACCTTTGGATTGAGATAATTTCTAGGACATTACTGTTACTTTTGTAATTGGCCTACTCTGTAGATTCAAAATTAAGTCAAAATTGGATAAAAGGTTTCTGACACTCTCCAGCCTCTGTCCAGAATGATTTATTAAAAGCCCAATGATCAAGGACTCGATTCTTTCCCTTATGATCTAGCATCCTGATGATTAGGCCAATTCGTTAATACCAGGGCAAAAAAGTGGTTCAGATTCCACTATAAACTGTACCCTTAGTTGCCATTAGCTGTATGGGCTATTAATTAACAGCTGTGTCTAAGGAACATGTCGGCCTTAGCCAGTAACAAGACTAAAAGATCGTGCCACTCATCCTACACTCATCTCCATTCATACGTTGCTTAAAATACCTACTTAGTATGGTCGCCATTTCATTGTATAGTATTTAAGTATAGCCAGTAACCTTTTGATTGTCATGCAAGCATTCAGAGTCCCCTGCTATACGATAGATCTTTCCAAGAGATACTTCATTAGTGTACTTGGAATAGGTCTAAAGAAAGATAAGAAGTTAAGTGGAGGTGACGGTTCATGTGGCACTGATTTCTTGAATCAAAATTTCCTAAATTTCCGAACAAATTAAAATTTGACCAATAACTTCATGGTGGTTTCCAAAACACAATATAATACTTCCAAACACACACAAAACGGCACATTTGGTCAATATTGATCGGTTTTCAGTATTACATTGCATAAATAAATTAACATTCTATACATTTACAAGTGTGAAAAAACAATGATTACGAATCCACTAGTGAGAAAGCCTTCTTGCGTAACTTGAGCAGGACGTTGAGATCAGCCGAAGATTTGTCTGTCTGTTTCACGTAGCGAATCACCGTATCAAGCGCTTTTGCCGCGTCACTATGGCTGACTGCTTCACTCGAGTCCTCCTGTCATCGCCACAGCAGAGTCAAAATGTCACTAGCACTAACAATCCCACAAAGCATCCCCGACATAAAGTACCACTGGGAAACTGAGTCTTGGAAAGGTTTTGAAGAGCTGCAGAGGACGGTTAAATGGGATCCAGGATCTATTCTATGGTTTACCACAATATAGTCGACCATTAAAAATGTGAAGTTGAGTTTGACTAACTTATAACTAAAAGGAAGCTAGTTGTACTCTGGTTGTCAAGAAATGTCTACAAAATATGTATTGAAGTACAGGAGTTTATATTCTTGGACAACCCAGTCAAAATTTATCTCCGCTTACTTATCTTTTATTTCCCGCTTGAATATTGGTGCAGTATAAGCAAGAATATATTTGCGAGTAGAAGATATTTTACTAAACTTCAATAACACATACAATTCAGGTACCGAAATGTTTGATTGGCATACTATTTCAGGAAAGATTTCTGGATACACCTCCTTTCTCAATGAGTTTGTTTTGTACAAAAAATATTACTTGTTACCAAATACTTTGCTATGTAGCACCCTCTTCTACAGCACCTTTTATGTCTCCTCATACTATATCAGTAACAAAACTAAGGAAGAAAATTGAACTGATTGTAGCACATTCATTGGTCAGCCCATGCAATGTTAATTTAAAAAATGGCTACAGCTGGTCCATTTATCCATTTAGATTGAATGTCTACTTCAGTATCCAAAGTGAATGATAAAACACAAAAATACTAAGTAATGTGTACATTACCTGTGTACTATCTGGCCTCTGAGGTGCCGTAGCAAGGCTCTTGTTGGCCTCTGAGATGGCCCTCAAGATAAGCGAGGTACTGGGTTGTTGTGAGGGCAGTCGCCTGGGTCGAGGCGTTACCTTGACAACGGAAGGTACACCCCCGGATGTCTCAGTGTCGTCCTCTGGCTCTTTCACACGAGGTACGACTCGTGACACCACAGCAGGACGTCGTGTCCCCTCCTGTCATATAACACATCATACTTAAGAATAGCATTGTTGTACAAGCTATAATTCTTGTCTTGAATATCATAAGAAAATATCCCCCCTAAACACAATTGACTGATTGACCTGATAAATTAAATTTGACTGATAAATTACTTATATACCTGTGATTTTTTTGACACTATAGTCTGCAAGATGGAACCTGTCTCCTGACCCTCCGTCTACCTGGATACTGGTCAATGGTTTAAGGCCGAGCCAGTCCCAAGTAGACAGATGGTCAGGAGATAGTTCCATTATACAGACTATAAGCAAAAGGAAAGATTGTAACAGTCCAATAATAAACAGGTCATCATAGGAAGAGTTTTTCCAAAAAGATTTTGTCGAGATTAAGTTTCTGCTGTGAGGTCTTCAATTTTCGGTATACATTTGACTCAGTAACAGTATAATAAGACGTCATTATAGTTTTAACTTTTCTGAGCACGTTGTAAAAAAAATTTTAACAATGACAGATATCAATAATTATTACTTACTCTTACTCCCATGGCCATCGATATCCTAGAAGGGTTTTGGCCTCGCCAAAACTGTTTCAATTAAGTTACTGTACATAATATTTTAACTTATTCGTTGACTATTAAATATTTATTAACAAATAATTAGGTATCTAACAATAAATTTCTGAAGTAAATACCTCAATATTTTTCCTCTTGGGAGATTCAAGATGTTTGCGCTTGGCCGGCAGTTCATCATTTCTGTCCTTAAACGCCCTATCATTTAATTTAGACTGAGGTTCAATTCTTGATTCCCTCCTACGTTCTTTACTCTTTTGGTCTATTCTGTCACTTTCTAATTTGCGAGGCCAGTCGTCCTTCCTTCTAGCATGAAGATCCCGATCTCGTCCTCTTTGATCGCGATCTTCTTCCCTTTGGTATCTCCGATTTGAAGATTCTTTGTCATCGTCCCTCCCCCTCTTATGGCCTCTGTCTTGGTGATGGTTTCTCGCTTCTCTTTCGTCTTTCCGCTTCCTAATTGGTGATAAACTACGGTCCCTATCTCTACTTCGAGATCTCGACCTTGCTTTAGCGTTTGCTTGCTTGGCGGCTTTTTTACGATTAAGTAGTTCACGTGCATCAAGAACTTTATTGTCAGTCTTTGGCGGAGTATTGGGAGGAGTTAACGACCGTATATTAGGACTTAAAGGTCTTTCTTTTCTGCTATTCTTGTCTAGTATATTAGGACTTGAAGGTCTTTCTTTTCTACTGTTCTTGTCTAGTATGTTTGGACTGGATGATTTTGGTTTATCTTTAACTCTTTCGGGACTTTCAAGAGTTGTGTCTTTGTCTGGTTTTCCCACAGTCTTGGAATTCTCCTTTTTCTTATGTGTCTTATTAGACTCTTCCAAATGTGCGTCCTCTGTTGTGTCCAGCAGTTCTAACATACAACACAATATTAAATTAGTAAAAAAAAAAAACATCAAACAATTGCTTACTGATAAAAATCTGAATTACTAAACAAATGTATGACAGTGAATACTCTCTAGTAGACTATAGTCTTGGCATATAAAATTTAAATTGCAACAGTTCAATTTCAAACAGTTGATATTAGACTTATAAAGCGACTGAATATGGATGGAGGATTGGTTAGAAAAAATTGACCACTACAAAGACACATAAAAACCTCATGAACACAAACATCATGTTTAAAGTACAACTAGATAAGTGATATCCCCAAAAGCTGAGATAGATGACAATCAAACCTTCTCAATTGAGACTTTGAACCTAAGTAATGGTTTAGGAAACTTTTTCTGTGCTAAATGAAATTTACCTCCATCAGTCCGGATATTAATACAATCCTCATCGTCAATATCTTCCACTTGGCTCGAAGTGCTGAGTGATTTCCTCCTGCCATCTGCAAAAACAATGATCGTTTAGTTATTTTATTCAAGAATAAATTTAAATGATAAAGAAACTGGTTGTAAACTACCAATATGATATTAAATGAATTATAGTTTTACCACCACGGAGTATTACACACTTAGTTCACTAAAAATACTTAGTTTTAACCAACTATTACTAATTAACAATACTAGCGCCATTTGGACAAAACTTGGACTTGATCCACTTAAACTCTGAACCCTTCACATAACAAAACAGTTATTGGGACCAAAATCGTCACAAGATTACAAACTATATTGCATGATTTAAGTTATAACAACAAGAAAAATATTCTACTACCTTAACCAAACTTAATCAACTAATTTCAGATTAGGCCACAAAATATTACTGTAATTCAATTCTAGGCTTAGATTTTTTTGTATTTTTCAGTATTAACTTTCAGTCTAATTTGGCAAACCTATAAACCATTGTCAGAGACAAGACTTCCACCATTTCACTGTGAAAAAATGTATAAAGGACTATTTGTGAGTGCAGGCATTAATTGAACTGGTTAGGTTAGGTTTTAGGTTAAGTTAGGATGACACATAAACTAGGGCATTCCTTCTGCCGGCAACTCACCCCCACCTGGCTTGAGCTTGGCGCAATTAAGGAACTCTTTAGCACAATTAATGCACGACCATTTGTGGAGGTGTAGGCTACTTAAAGGAATTTGAAAAATTGAGGTTCAAGAGAATTATCTAATTTATAATGATGAAAAAAATGAGATAAATTTTGATAAGGGTAATTTTATAAAAGTTTTTAGAAGATGAAGGATTGTATGAAAAAAATTCAGTTGTTGTATTTACCTTTTGAGCATTCCCCTTTTTTTGGCTGCTTCTCATGACTAGACTCCCTTGAATCATCCTTTTGCTTTTTACTTTTATCAATATCACTAGGCCTATCTGGACTTGCAGATGATTTTGACAAACTTTTCTGCTTTTTGGTTGACTTTTCATCATGACTGTTTTCTTCTTTGTCATCATCTGATTCAGAATCATTTTTGTTTCCTTTTTTATCTTCTTTGCTCTTTAGTGGAACATCTTTGTCTTTAGGTTCCTCTTTAATCTTTTTCTTCAGGCTTATTTCTCGTTCGTCTGAGCCCTGTTTGACCTTCTTCTTCTTTTTAGGTTCATCTGATGATTTACCCTCATCAATCTTTCGCTTCATTCCTTCTGAAAACAGATAGTGGAGAAGAATTTTATGAATGAATTTATCAAATTTGTTTAGGTTTATATTAAAGGGGGAAAAAATTGAGATTAGTAGTAGTATGAAAATGTAAACTTAACTGAATATAATACTTTATTGTAGATAAGTAATTGATGACACCATAGCTAAATACTAATACAAATTTTGTAATAATAGAAAATAGGCAAAATTTTAAATAACCTAGTTAATTAATGAGTTAATTGGTTGATAGTTCAATGACAAAAACAACAGTGTCCGCCTTTTTTTGGATGCAAAGGCAAGCAATATTCGTTTAATTCAGACAATTATTGTGGTAAATTGTGTTTTGTGACTTTCGTAATTTAGTAGGTCTAAATGTTGGTTAATTTATCTGTCTTTAAACAAACAAACGAAAGGAAAACTTTATATTAAGTAAGTAAGGTAAGGTAAAAGATTGTATGTATTTGAAAAGCAAATATTAAGCCTATAGAACTATTGTAAAAGTTCTTTTTAGGACTTTAAAAAATTGTTAAGACTGCCTAGAGACAAATACGAGTAAACTCTGGAATGTGATAGCCTTACTTTAAAATATCCATTTTATCTGTTCATATATGGATACAAGTGGTCCATTTTAAATAATGTAAGTAATACAACCTTTTGCAAACAAATACAAGCTATTCATGGTTAGTTTAAAAACATACTCTGCCTTATTTCATATAGTTCTATGCCTACTAGCTGTTCCACCTCCGTCCTAGGTTGGCCATCTAAAACACAAAGGATGAGGAATAAGAACAAAAGGGTGGGATGGGGATAAAAGGATTGTTAACTAGGAATTAAGCCTATAGCCTTCTTTTAAGGAAGCTTTTATATGACTATGAAAATATATAAGTACTTCATTATAATAAATGTATTCTAAAATTGTTTTAATATATTGTTGATTTTGAAAAAATATAAATCACATATATTGGGTTTCAGGGTTGTCCCTTACCCTAATATCATAATTTAAAATTAATAATCTGACATCTGTGATGACACTTGATCTGTCAACATTAGTCACACACATTAGAACATTAGTCATTACCAGTGTTCCGTTATCCTTCTGTCATGTCAAGTAAGAAAATTACAATTTCTGAAAATAGTCGTAAGGGATAATCACTTCATGAAGAATGTTTGTGTGATTATTTCTTAAATGTTTCAAACGTTTTCTACTTTGGTTGGACTTCAGTTCTTTAAAAAAAGAAAGGTAACCAGGCATTTAGGAACAGATTTAAGATCGCCACGGCCGTAATTTGGAATTCATCTGATGACTCAGCGCGTGGCCATCATAGTTGTATTGTGTTGCCAATAGGCCTGTACCCTACTGGTGCCGGTAGTGGTAAGTTAGACATTTTAACATTTGTTCTCAATAGCCTACTACATTTACTTTTACTATGGGTTGGGTCAGGTAAACGTAACAGTATCAGTATCAACATTTTAAGGTCAGTTCAATAGGCCTATCGGTGCTTCTACCAAAAACCAGTAGTATTGAGAATTGTATTGAAGTCAACACGTGATATTATTAAAATGACGCTGAAGTAATTAAGTACAAAAACAGCTGTGAGAATATTTTTATATTTAAAAATCACTTTGTAAAGCAAATGTGTGGTAGTTAAAGTGTAGGAAGGCATCACAACTAAAATTGTCTAGTTAAAAAAAGTTTGAGTATCATTTCCATAATCTAACATCTACACAGCCCCTGAAAGACAGATTAAGGTCGACGTTAGATAGTAACAAGACCAGGGTTTAGACCGTTCTCTTTCAAAACGTAAAAAATGCCACTGGCGTGAATAAACACACAAAAAAGAAAGATCATCAGAGTCGAGAGTTTTTCAATAAAATATTGGGTATAATATAACAATTTTTATTTATTTATTTTTTTTTTAAAGAGGTTGGCAGCCTCTTTTAATCTTGCATTTGCCCGTCCACATAGACTACAATTATAATGTCATTTAATTGGATACTGAAGATTTTTTCATAAAGATTGCTGCTTTAGGCCAGGTTATTTAGGGATCGTGATAGACAGGATTAGTAGCAGGATTAACTTATGGATAAATAGAATTCTAAGGAGAATAAACACACAAATACCCAAGAGCTTCTGGAGCTAGTTACTTCTCTGAATGTAGACTGTGTTAGTCAGATATGATAGGCCTACATAATTGTTTACCGAGCTTTTTAACAGTGATCGCCTGAAGTTTCTGCAGCACCTGATGCAGCCAAGTTGTAAATAGTGACGTGTGTTTGCCTAAGAACAGCTGGAGATCTTCATCCATCTCCTCCTTGCTGCGTTTATTGGCCACCATGACCATAACATAGTCCGGCAACTCCTCATCTGCAATCAATCCATCGATACTTAAAACACAAGCTACTTATATTAAACATTGACCTATAAAGTAAGATTCAGCCCTGGGGGTTACTTGTGAAGATCATCATTGTTTTCCTTGGTCGCGGAAAAGTTCTGCCTTTTTACCACGGTGTAATTATTGCGTGCAAATTATTATCGTCTTCTGCAATAGCGGAAAAATTCTGATTATCCCTCATGGCAGTTTGTAGACATATTATCGTCTCCCGTGGTTACAGAAATGTCACTGTTGTCATGGGCGGTCCCGAAAAATTGAAAATTACAGGTAGAAATACAAAATTAACTCATATTTCCCGGTTTAAAAAAACTCACGCATAGTTTCCGGATTTCCTGGTCGATGGCCACTCATATATATTGCTAAGGGCTGGGGGTGCTGCTATTAGTTGTGCCTAGGGCACTGACAGCCTGACAGGGTCAAAAACGGGCCTGAGTTTCCCTCCACTTAAATAAGTTAATGATCATTAATTAAGCCTTTAATTGAACAATTTATTAAGAAAATACAAAAACAAATATAATTTCCTTATTCCCTAGTAGGCCTACTCTATGTTATAAGCCTAATTATAAGTTTTCAAAACTTTATCTTTATAAATAACACCGGCAGGCAGCTACAAATGATGGTATGTTCTGTCAAATTTAACGTTCCTCTAATGGGATTAAAATGCAATATGGCTACCACTCTCCACTGATGAATACTCTTAATCTTTCCCGAAAACAGTTGTACACTATACATCAACGTTAACATTACACTTTTTCCAAATTTTTGCTAATTTAAACAGGGTTCGGTCCTACAGGGTTGACAAAGAATTTTTAAAGCCATTTTCCTGACTTTTTGGAACCACCGGGTTTTACAAAAAAAGAAAAAAAATTATATATTTGTTAATGCAACCTCTTCTATAGCCATAGTTGCCAACCGCTCCCTTTTTATTAAATAAAAACAAAGTGCTACAATAATACTAAATTTAAACCATTATGATTTGCATTTTGATGTAATCTTGTTTTGACCCTTCGATACCTAGCAACTGGAAGAAGTTTTGAAGATCTGAAGTTTTTAGCACTTGCAACTTGCAACAATCAGTAAAGCTATCTTGGGGACTTTTGAAATGGTTTAACAATATTGATGTGTACTCACATGTAATTCAATATTATTGTCAATATCCTATGTGAAGTTCCGGTATTGTTGGCTGGATTTCAAGATTTCTAGATTTTCATCAATAGCCTATCAATTGTCAAACCATCAATCTCGAGGTGGTACTTTAAATAATAGGCCTATTGTCAATATTCTAGAATATTGGAAATAAGTTTGTATAAGGTGCCTTTTAGCGAATTTCCCTATAGGGAAGTAGCTATTACCGTAGGTCTCATGGTAAGACCTAAGCCCGGGACCGATTTACTTTTTCATTTTGATGTCCCCAGAGGCCAAAAACACCATTCGTTCAAATTTTTATATATCTATATATATAGATATATATATATATATATATATATATGTGTCCATCCGCACGATAACTTGAGTAATTTTTGTCCGATTTTGATAAAATTTGGTTTGAAGCTGTAAGGCGGGATAAACTTGAATGAGTTCGCGAACCAGCATGATCGGACTATGGGAACGGGGGTTTATGGGGGGTTTTATGGGGTAAAAATAGGTTTTTCCCATTTTTTACCCTAACAACACAAAATTTCACAATTTCTTTTTAAACCATTTTGTAGAGCTTAAAAAAACAAATAATTTAGTATGTTGAAGCGTTATTATGCGCCTAATTGTTACGGAGAAAATTCTAAAAAATTGTAATTTTAAAATTCCCATGTTATTCTTATGGAGAATAAGTCAACTGTTGTAGTTTGCTTGTTTATGAACATATTTTGATCGATTTTGGAAAATACTTTTATTTCTTACTAAACTATTATCATTTTATAAAAAAAAACTTTTTTACCCTCCCTGTTGCAGCAAACCTAAGTACTCGTTAAACTAATTCTATCTAAATAGGAAATAAATGTGCTATTTTTATGGAGGCATTTTAGTGTAAATCCAATCAGGTTAATGGAAATTCGCTTAGTCTGCAGGTTTGCTGCGGCGGGGGTATATAACTTAGCTCTTAAAAGCCTGTAGGCCTATGTTTTTGGTTAAGTTTGTTCTAGGCTTAAAGACTAAGTTATAACAATCAAAATCAGAAGGCTTACAAAAATCTCTAGTCTGACTAGACCTAAAAACAATCATACTAAAATAGCCTAACAATTATTGTCTTTAGTTTAGTAGACTACTTACCAACGTGAAGCCCAATTTCTTTGAATTTTGCCTTGATTGCAGACTGAAACAAAAATAAAACAATAAAATATGACTAGGTGCAAAATATGGGTAGAGTTCCAAAGAAAACATATGATATATTATCGGGGGAAATAAAAATTTTGATATCAGTACCGGTATAGCCTAACTTAAATAGGATATTGTTTTCACACGATATCAAGTTATAACTTAATTGATTAAGCCTAGGCATATCAAATGAAAATTTCATCCGACAGTTATATAGGTTCCTTGAGGAACAGTACCCAAAAATATATTTCACTTACCTACCGTCACAGAAAACATACTACTAGCCTATAACCCAGAATGCCAACCGCATGGTAAAAAGCATTACCGTAAGTGCATTACCGCTGGTGGCGCTGCCTACGAATTGACAGGCAAAGCTCTCTCAAAATACTTAATGCTTTTTACCATGCGGTTGGCATTCTGGGTTATAGTAGTAGGCCTATGTTTTCTGTGCTACCGTACATAAACCTTATCACAATACGCTCTTGACCCTAACATGCCCGTGCAAGGGAAATTTTATCAGGTACGTTTTTGATCTAGGTATGGGATAAGTAGGCTTAAGTAAAAAGGCACCCCCGAACTTAAAACAGCTTCTGAGTAGGTACCTTAAATTTGACTCATGGGGTGGCGCTACCTACCACTCTGCCTGCGTTGAATATCGCACTTAAGAAAACACTTACCTACCTAAACGTCAAAAAACACTTGCGATAGGTAATAAGTTAAGTTAATACATTTACAACCCAAGGTTGACAATTTACAGCCCGCAAAAGAATTTGGCAGCTAGAAAATCGGACATTAAGCTTTACCAACAACATGTTTTACTTAGGCCTACATAGCCTTCAGTAGGAATAACGATATCCTTTAAGACAGAGGTCCACCTGTAATTAAGTTAAGTAATGCATGGTGTGTGCTATTTTTAACTGCGCATTTTGATTTTTTTTTCTCCAAATGTCATGTTTTATAATCTAATTTACTTAACTTTTTATTTTGTCTGCTGGTTGACTTTATTAACAAATCTCTGATGATGGTTGTATTTTTATTTTATTGAATTATGTATAGGCCTACCTATTAGACATAGCCTACCTATTATGTTTAATGGCCAAATTTGAATCTGAATTTAAAGCTTTTTTAACTTAAGTTAGCTAAGTTTTTTTTATTGGCTCTCGAAATAAGCTTAACCCTTCCCGGACGGGTGACGGATATATCCGCCTAAGTCTTTGGTGGTAAAGGACGGGTGACGTATAAGTTAAGGCCTATCCGGACGGGAGCTGATATATCCGCCTTCTCTTCAGACATTTCAGAGCAGTAACCAGATATTTCGCGGTACCAAGGCGCCACTTTCCTGCTCTCTCCATGGCTGCGCTCTCTCCTGCGCATAGGCCTACCCCTCTCCCACACCTCTACTTTTCCCGCACACCCCCCCCCCCCCCCTCTCCTACGCTCCCCCCTCGACGTTTCGTGCTTTTAAACACTACGTTATCTTTATTTATTGTTTACATATTGTTCTTTATTTATTGCCTAACGTTTTCATGGTCATATCTTCAAAGACAGGTGGCGGATATATCCGCTGCTTTTCTACTCATCTGTGGATGGACACGGGAAGCATAAGTTAGTTCAAAGCGAGTAAAAAATTATTTTGACAGTATGAAGTGTTCCGTTGTGTTTATTTTAGGTATGTATAGGGCCTACTTGTATAGGTAGGCCTAACACTAACAAAACACAAATTAAGGAAAATTTATTTTATTTTTTCCTAGCCTAAGTATAATTTTTTCCCATTCTATGTCACGATTTTGCTCGTCCGGGAAGGGTTACCTTATAGCCTAGATAAGTAGGCCAAGGCATGCGTAACTTGAAGTACAGATGAAACATGCTAAACTTATGGGACAACCTGTGCTTTTAGGTCTTGTTATAATACTTTGGAGCGAAGCGGAAATAGCTCTATCTCGTGGAGCAAGGAAGAGCCCAAAGAGCTAGCGCAGTGTGGAAATCCCTATCGAGTTGGCCTTAACTTAAGGCACAGGGTCTGGGTACAGTTTCTTAACTGGGCTATGCTAATATCGATTGAAACTATCGAATTAAAAATATTGTATAATCGATATTTTTAAATATATTTATTATCAAATTAAACTATCTTAACCTAACCTAACCAACCAAACTTGCTGATGGTGAAAAAATCGCATGAAGGTTTAAGTTACTAATCGAATCGATAGTTTCAATCGATATTAGCATAGCCCAGTTAAGAAACTGTACCCCAGGGTCTTTCTCCACCGTTGTAAATTAGTAGGAACATGCCTGACAAGGGGGGCAGTGCAGGACTTTGCCCCAAACACCAGCACTAGGCTGAGTAGCCTAGTTACTAGGCCTAAGTTAGACACCACTAGATTGTAGCCTACATAAGTTATAATTAAAAATTTCCTAGCAATCAATAGCAAGGCCACCTATATTTCAAATGGGGGGTACGACACTTCCATATCTGTTGGCACAAACAACCGAATGAGTAATATTGATTGTTTGATTGTTTATAATTTGATACCTATATTGTTTGGTTGGTAAGGTTAACCTTACCTCTAACTAACCAAATGATAGCCTATACAGTATCGATCAATATTTTCATTCGGTTGTTCGTGCCAACAGATATGGAAGTGTACCCTTTCAAATAACAAAATCATAATAATGCTTTCACTTATAAAATCCAGAGCTTGGGGCTAGACTAAGGCCATGATTGGGATTCAGGAGACTAACTTATTGCTTAACTAGGCTAACTTGAGCTAGGTAGGTAACTTAGCTTAACTTCTGGCATACCGTTAGGTTATTCGAAAATGGTGTAATTTATTAGTCGACATTACTACAAGTAGGAAAGACCTAGTCTACCACACTTACTCTGATTTTTTGGCTAACTTCAGCTCCTACACCTTCCATATTAAAACTATTACAGTAACTTGGTTACTTTGTAAATATCACTATATTTTCACTATTAACACTACGAAAGATAAATTTATTAATAATTACGTATTATTAATGATCAATAAGTATATTTTCACGACGAAATACTGTGTGGCGTGGAATTAAATAACTTTTACTATATTTTTCATTTTCTAATAAATAAATGCAAAGGCCTGTTTTCAGTTTTCACTGTTTTTAGAAACCCGACCCGACACCCAGACCCCAGACACTTTTGGTTTTGGTTCTGGACTGTGGTTCCTGGTTGGTCCAGTCTCGAGATGGGAATGAAGTACTGGGCAGGCGAAAAATTGAGCCATGCATCTCTGTACGTTGACGGCACACCCTAGTGCACAATTTGTTTTTCAGGATTAATTTTGCCAACAGTGTCATTTAGAGGCTTCTGATTGACTATAATGAAGGTTTACTAATCTAAAAATTAGTTTTGTTCATAAAATAAAATCATAAATGCCTCAAATTCTATTTTATATTTTTTATTATGAAATTAAACCGTCATAACCTAACCAAACCAACCAAACGTGTTGACAATATTAAAAAATCGAATGAAGGTTTATTAATCGAAAAAATAGTTCTGTTCATAAAATAAAACTATAAATGCCTCAAATTCTATTTTATAGTTTTTAATTATAAAATTAAACTTTCACAACCTAACCAAACTAACCAGACTTGCTGATAATGAAAATCGAATGAAGGTTTAATCGAAAAAATATTTCTGTTCATGAAATAAAACTATAAATGGGTCAAATGGTCAAATTCAATTTTATAATGTTTTAATTATAAAATTAAACCGTCATTAACTAACCAAACCAACAAAACTTGTTGATAATAAAAAAATACAAGACAAAAAATAGTAGTACGGGCGGGGTTCGAACCCGGGTCGTTCGGATTATCAGCCCGGCACTTTATCCACTTCACCAACGCCTCAAACCGTACCGTTGCGGTAATGATGTCCCCTCAGCCAATCAGAAGCCTCAAAATAACACTAGGCAACACTAATCCTGAAATAAAAATTCAGCCACTCTCTCTCCGACGCTTTTATTGTTGGATGATCATTATTGCATGTTCTTTTTCGTTGTAGAGTACTGTCACTTATTGCTTTTCTATTTCCTATTTACTATTTACTGCTGAAAGTCATTTAAATATACTTTTCAACCAAAAAAATATAATAAAACTAAATTGCACCACTCAATTTCATTTAATCTTTATACCGTAGCAATTTAGCAGACAAACAGGCACAGCCTATGTCTGCTAATTCCAGGACTAAATAGATAGAGACAACCTTTGACACATCATGTATATAGTTAACTAGTTATAGTTAATTAGTTAAGTTTTGCATGAACCCCTTTTTCTTTTTTGTACATTTGGTTGTGCAATTTTTTATATGTGGTGGAATAAATTCATGAATTCATTCATTCATTCATAATGTAGCTGCGCACGGCCACCTTAACTCCAGGCCACGGCCTGGTAGAATTGGGATCGTCGCAAGTAGGGTTGTTTAGTGTCAGACGGCCCATAAGATAACATGGCAGACAGGTGGCATCAGCTCATTAATTCGTACATCATTGATTTAAATTTATAAACATAAATTTAATAAAATATTGAAAAAAAAAAACAATATGACTTGAAATCTATATCTGTACTTTAAAACCAGTCAATATTTGTATAGTCCAGTAACCAAGCTGTCGTAAATACACAAATAACATTAGCTGCTTCCAAACAAAACAGCTGTTACAACCCTACTTGCGACGTTGCCACTTCGAAGGCCACGGCCTGGAGTTAAATGCGGCCGTGAGCTGCATCTTAACTGTTTGCCCTTATCTACCCAGCATTTTTATCCATATGTCAGCATTCTATACCAGCATGTCGCCTACATGCTGGCATGGATTTTTTATCTTCTTGATCGTGTTGGGCTTTTGATAATAGGCCTAATTATAATCTTAGCTAAAGAAACAGCCAATCATAGTCAGAACAGAAGCAGAATCTCAATACATTCAACACTACAATTCAATTTTATTTAATGTTTATTTCAGAACATATCAATTGTATTTAAGATAAGTCAAATAACTTATCTATCTAATATCTACAAAAGAGGAACCATGTATGTACGTATGTATATATATCTATATGTATTATTATTATTTCTAAAGTAATTTTTTTGTCGTTAGACCATAACTCCCCCTTATTTCTTTACCAATTTTCATAAATGCGGTATCATTTTAAAGCTTTTAGCGAATTTCCCCTATAGGGAATAAGCTATTACCTACTCATGGTAGGACCTGCACCCGGTACCGATTTACTTTTTCGTTTTGAGGTCCCTAGAGACCAAAAACACCATCCGTTCAAATTCATATATACATATTTAAATATATATATATATATATATATGTGTCCGTTAGCGCGATAACTCGAGCAAAAATCATCCGATTTTGATAAAATTTGGTACAAACGTGTAAACCTACACATTCAAACGAGTTCGCGAACCAGCATGATCGGACTATGGAAACGGGGGTTTATGGGGGGTTTTATGGGGTAAAAATAGGTTTTACCCATTTTTGAACCTAAAAAGACAAAATTTCACAATTTCTTTCCAAATTATTTTGTAGAGCTTAAAAAACAAATAATTTAGTATATTGAAGAGTTGTTATGCGCCTAATGGTTACGGAGAAAATTCCAAAAAACTGTAAATTTAAAATTCCCATGTTATTCTTATGGAGAATAAGAACTGTTGTTGTTTGCTTGTTTGTGAACATATTTTTATCAAATTTGGAAATTGCACTCATTTCATACTAAACTATTAACATTTTATAAAAAATACCTTTTTACCCTCCCTGTTGCAGCAAACCTCGTTAAACTAATGATATTTAAATAAGGAATGAATGTGATATTTTTAAGGAGCCTTTAAACCTTTTAGCGTAAATCCAATCAGGCAAATGGAAATTCGCTTAGTCTGCAGGTTTGCTGCGGCGTAGGTATTTTTACTTTCTACCCTGCCTGAGAAAGAAATACAAATCACTAATTTTTCAGTAGTTTTTCGTAAAAAACTATCTATCATATCATTCTGCAAGTAATTTAATCTTGAAATGTTTATTTACGTTATTCGATCAGCTGAAACGTGTGAATTAAATTAATAAAAACAAACTAATATTTATCTCTCAAATCTGAGTATTGTGTTTTTACTTCATCAATGGTGACCAACATACATAGTCTGTGCTTTCTACGATAAAATAGATAGATGAAATCGGATGATTCACTTTAAAGAACTCTAAACAAGAATAAGTCAACAGTAAGTAGGCTACCTCATGGATTCTTTAGCTTTTATATTTCTTTATTTACGACATGGCCTTCAATCATGAATTCCATCTTCTAATATCAATTGGTTTAAATACCTGCTTCTAGTTCGCCTGAAGATGACTTCTTCATGAAGTTGAAACTCGTGTTCTTGCAACTATTGGATTACATGGAACAGGTATTTAAACCAATTTATATATTCAAAATAATCCTGAGGTTAACATAAAAAAATTAAATTGTAATATCACGTTATATCTTTTCTTTACTATAGGTTTCAAGGGATATGGTTATATGTATTGTGTTGATTTTGTTACCGACAGGAAACAGTTAATATAAGTTTCGATTCGGTTCTTTACAAATGGACGTAGATAGCTATGTGTATACATTCGAGTTTTCCTAAGCCCTTTAGGTTCGTTACTTCATAAACCCATGCTAACTTTATCATACGACTATTCTCAATTACATTTTGTTGTTTGACCAAATTCAACTAACTATATACACTTAATATTTTCTCAAATATTATGACTAATGTATGAGTAATGATTCTCAAATAAAATTACTGTAACTTCTCAAGTAAATGTAGAAAAAGCGTAGAACTTACGTGACCAACAACGATTATGGCCATGAAGATAACTGAATGTTTGTATGTTTCTCTTTTGAATAAGGGGAAATAATTACAGTTTGCACTTTTATTATTGGATCAACAATATCGGAGCAAAAGTTAAATTACTGGAGTTTATCGTAGCATCTAGTCGGAAATAGTTTTACAAATTTCAGTCATGTTAGGTAAATGCTATTTTTTTCATTTTACCACGTTTCAAAGTAGGTACCTAAGAGTTATTGTCAAAATTTGAGTATGAACCACGGCCAAAAACGTAATTAGTTTATGTTTATGATCCATACCGGGTCTTTTCTAGCATGTGTGGTATGAAGCGAGTAAAGAAATTATCGTGTTTGTAGTAAATTGATGGATAAAACTGGGAGGACTACGGAAGGCGTATATTGCGTTGGTTTTCAAAAGGGGCTGAAGGCTAAAGGAGTCTTTCGATTAATACAGTAAACACGTTGAAGTCACCACTGTAAGTAAAGCTTTACACGGAAACATATATTAAAATAGTCATCTTAGTTTCAATTTGTTTACTTATATTCTTTTGCGGAGTAGTAACAGTTTTTAGTTTCAGAAGCTTACTAAGTACTGCATATGTAACTCTGTCATAAGAACTCGGGTAAAACAATAAAATAAGAATTATAAATATTCAAAATATCGTCTTAGAGAGCTTTTTACGGTGCAACGTATCAATCCATTTCCTTGGAGTTGAAAATGAAATTTAGTATAAAACCGCAAGAACACAATAATGCTTTCTATGTGACCTTAGCTCATATTAAATTCATGCAGTAGGTAAGTTACGTGAATAAGTTACATATCTCAGGCGTTCATACGAGGATAAAATTGCACGTGACTTTGCGTGAGATATTCTGTGACTTGGTCACGCAAAGGGAGTAAACCCGGGTCACGTAGTTGCAATGAGTTCCTGTGAGATATTAAAATGTTTACTCCCATCGCAGTTTTGAAGTTTAATAGCTTGAGAAAGGTACGTGACCGAATTATGACTATGCAAACAACTATTAAAGATTTTTTAAAGTTATTGTTTAGTTTATAAATATAGGCTAACTTAATTTAAGTTTTATTTTTGACGCCTCCCTAAGGCTTTTTATCTGCAATACATGTTTGAGAGATTTTTGGGTATTTAGGGGGTCACGATGTGACAGGATACAGCCTTAAAGTTTATTGGAAAATAGCTAGAAATTGCCCACGCTATAACTTGGACTCATTAGATCCAATATACGGCACTAAACTAAACCAACTCAAACTGTAAGACTTCGGGATTAAAATACTATAGGTCAGCTTTAATTGACGTTCTCAGATAAGATTCTTGGCACCGAAAACAATCGACCTACTTTCAGGAAACGTCTGGAGTCTGTGATAAAAAAAATAATACATTATTTCAAACAAACCGTTAAACGGTAAGTGTGACTTCAATGACACACTTATCACTTTATAGACAGTCTCAATAAACAGGGTCACTATACTTTGAACCAATTAACGGTGGGGTGGTAGCCAGATGACGTCACCGTGTGAGGGGGAGGGGCAAATCACGTGACGTCCCGACACCCCTGTGACGGAATCAATATAAATAGTTCCTGGATTTCCCGACAGGGAAACATCGACCGAGGCGGACACACCCGAGAAAACCCGAACAAGTACGAACTGTCTGGGTACAGAGACGATTGTGAAGGTGTGAAGACATTTATCTGTATATTCACGCAAAATAAGGGATACGGGGTTAATTTCGAGTCAGTGCGAACATAAAAGTTTTAAGTTTTGTGGAAATAACTAATTTTCCCAGTGCAAAACCCCCCTCGGGTCACCTTTTTTCGTTCCTAAGTGGTTTGGATATTACCTTTCAAATGAGGAAAATATGCAATTTTCACTGGAAAACAATGTGATGAGTAGGAAAAGGTGAGTGTAGATGTATTTTATATGTATTTTACCCCCCTGTTATCCCCAATTCACCTCTAGAACATCGATCGATCCGGTACCAGTGTCAATCAAATCACACGAACTCTTGACATTATTGATTTTGTCTTTAATTATACCTTGGGTTTGATATAAATAGATTCTATTTAATTATTTCTTAGTCAACAAAAGTTTGCAATCAAGATGAGTCCAAGCGATAAAATTAACAAAGTTGTTCTCAAAAATTTTAAATGTATTATTAGGAGAACGTATAAAAAATCACCTGGGTTAATGGAGGTAATTTATGTTTAAAATCATGTGTATATAAACGTATACTATCGAGTGATTGTAACCTAAATTAAACATAGTTTAAAATGAATCCTTCTTTTAAAACTGCTTTATAATTTCAGTTTTTGGGTCTAGTATGTGGTTGATTTGTATATAATTGAAAGAGAGACTTTCTCTGCCTTAAAGTTTCTTTTCGTGGTCAGATTAGGTTGTTTGAAGGTGGTTCCAAAATTATTGGAAGGATCCAACAAGTTCCAAAATGGCGGCTATAATGGACTACGATACTAATTTCGATTAAGAAACAGTTTCTCTCGTAGCATGTTTTTTCAGAAACTTAAAATCTGCAACGTTGAGTGTTATTTCCAATAATAATAGCGAAGTTCTAAAGTTCCAACTATGTGGGTTAAGTAGTAACTACCAAGATAATTTCTCTAAAACTTGCTAGTTTTATGAGGCGTAAAATAAAATCTTTTCTTATAATATTACGTTTTAAATCACCTATGACATAAATGTTTTGACGTGTCTGTTAATTGATCTTTTAAATTTGCATTGTAAACACACGAAGAATAAAAGATGTTAGCAAGGTTAAGGCTTTGCTATTGAATATTTTGAAAATTTAAACCTTAATAAAACTGTAATTTGACAACACTTCTAATGATAAAGACTCAAAAAGTTCAAACAAAACGAGAGGTATTTAGAATCTCATCCGGTGGTTTCTTTAAGGTTAAACATTAATCAATACATTTTTTTACATATATCCAAACATGGGTGTGTGTGTGTGTTTTTTTTTTATATGAATGTAGGGCGAGTAAGTGAATTATTGGGCGAAGTTTCTATTCGGCTTTGTTACTAAGTAAGATCAGCTGTTTTATTTGACCAGAAAAGTTATATTTCATCACTAGGGCGTAAAGTGACTCTTTTCAACCATAGCTCAAGTTTCACGACGGAAGTGAAGCCGTGGTCAGAAAAAGAAAGTGGGTTTAAAAGACACTCTTTACCCATGTGATGAACTATACTTCTCTTCACACTACACACCGTTTTAACGAACTTCCCACGCAAAGATATAGTCCAGAAAACTGCTGTTTGCCACCAGCTTAACCAAATGGGGGTTCATCACGTACTACTGTACTGTAATGAGTTTTTACCGGACACAAACCAGCTGATTATTTTGGGCAGAGTGGTTATAAACAAAAACTCTCTTAGTGGCTATGAGTAGTGATTGTTAGTCCTTAAGTCGGTGGGAATATAAGGATCTGTACACATTTTCTGTTGTTAAGTTAGCTTAGAATAGTACTGTATGGCGTAAAATATCGTACGTCGCTCGTCCAAAATCGGTACCGGACTCGTAATGTTACTAGCCGTAACTCGACTTCGCCTCAAACGGGAACGACCACACTCATCCGGTAAACATATATTTTCAGGAATAGAAATGTAATATACTATTTCGTCATAATTCATCATTATTTAAGCCAACTAAGCTACAAAACAATAATACTTCGAATGTAAAGATAACCTACCAAAACGACTTCAAACTTGTTATATACCTATTACTACCTCACACACATAGTGCATTTTTACAAATGATTTTAAAACAAATGGAATATATGAGTCTGAAAATGAATATTTTGGTTAATCCTGGATTAGTTTGCTTTCACAGCCAATTTAACAGTGAATAGTTACTGAAGTAAAGGTCTAGTCAATGAGTAACTTTTATGCTTTTATAACTATCCAAAAATTGAAACAAGATTGGTTAAGTGATTAAATTTGAAGAACAACTGTATTCATTGTGGTATTGTAGAATATAATAATAATTTTTCTGACGGTTATTTGATGTCTGACAACGTTTGAATGCCTGGGGTTTATTAAATATTTCCATCTAAGTATACACATAATACAATGAGGGTTTTTCTTTAACATCTCGTCTTTTTAGCCGTCCAAATGAACAGATTTTTACGATTTACGTGTCATTGTAAAGCTTATGATCTAACGGAGTGTTGAAACGTAACTACAAATTAATTTACTTTGCGGATTCACCCCCCTTATTGTTTGAAATTTTCATGCTGCATAACAGCATAACTGCATACGTTGTTGGTCTAAAGAGGCCCTTTTTTCTCCCTAGGGAGTAAAAATCTGATGTTGTAATTTCAGTTGTAAAAATCGATTATAAGCAATGGCATATTGTAATAAAAGTATGTATCGATTGTTATAATCGGTTTTAGCTCATTGTTGCATTTTGACATATTGGTCGCATAATGTACATGAACACAATTAATGACGCAAAAATTAAATCAGGTACATAAAACAGCTGCTTATTTGCATTAGCAAAATTGAAAACAAGTTGGATATCGTTTTCAGAGGTTATCTTTACAAGAAAAGTATTTTCGGCTTTGTAAAGTTTGCTTAAATAATGGTGCATATATGATGACGAAAAATTTAGTTCATCACAAAGGAAAACATTTTCTTATCAACTCTCAACTATTGAAACTTGAGCTTGTGTCAAAAAAATCAGCTTACGCCCTAGTGATGAAATATACCTACTATTTCGTACCTGAGCTGAAATAGTTTGATGTTGGTAAAATAAAATAAAACACGATATACATGGAAATGCGCTATATGACAGAAACATACATAAAATCGCCTTAACCCGATGAAAACGATTATAAATCTATAGGTGAGAGTTCTTAGTATTAAATGTTTTATGTTAAGATGGTGTACCATTGTTGTTGTACAGGGTGGGGCAGAGAAGTATCCCTAATTTTAAAGGTAAATTAAAAGACAACCAAAAATGTTAGAGCCAAACTTTTTATTGAGATTAAAAGGTTACATCTGGGAGTTTATTTTAATATAACTTTACTTGGTTTTAAACAGCATATCCTGCAAGTTGTGTCCCTATCTTAAATGCATTACTGTATTCTGGTTCTGGAGTTCATTATAACTTTGTGATGCATTTGTTGTGGAAAGAGGCAACATTCTAGGTGAATTGCATCCTTCAAGGCATCTAGGGTCTTCCCTTGAACTAGGCCTACCCTAGGCTTAGCATCACTCCAATAGAGCACATTCTGCTTATTTACCCGCTCCAGGAATATGGAAGTGTGCCTCGTCACTAAACAAAACCCGAGCAGCATGAGGTAGTCCCGCAATTAAGATTTCACATGCCTGCATTCGTTGTTGCCAGTCCCTTTGTGTGAGTTCATGAGCAACTACCCTCTTGTATAGATGGAGGTGTAAGTCCTCATGGAGAATACGAGGCACAGTACGATTAGACAACGCCAGCGCGGATGCATGCTTACAAGGAGAACTTTGAGGAGACTGCAAAATCGATCTTCTGACAAGGTCAATGTTTTCAGGACTCCGGACCGTTCTTTGAGCAACAAATATCCTTCGCAATACACCACCACATACACGAAAGTAATTCACCCACACCAAATTGTAACAGCTTTGCGACAGGCCACCCGATAACCCGACAGCCAATGGTAGCTGCACAGCAACAATAGACAGATTTTTGAAAAAAAATACATCTCGAGTGCAAAAGCACATTGGTCACTCGAACAAGCTATATCTACTACTGATAGTGATATTTTTAGAAATTCCCAAAACAAAAGCTTCATTTGAGCCAAACCCCATTCCTCCAGCACACCCCCACTACTCACAGTACCATCTTAAAAGTAGGGATATTTCCCTGCCCCACCCTGTATATAGACGTGTAGATCTAATCGCATTTGTAATGAGAGGCAAGTAGACGGTTCGAGCTTTAGTTTTTGTGACGGACCCTTACCTAAAGATGTCTCAATTTATGCAGATTGATTTTGTTTTTTTGGAACATTTGTCGGTTAATTAATTATTTTTAGGCTTACTTATTAATCCTTACTTCTAGAATTACGTATGTTTAAAACATTGTTGTCATAGCGCTTTTGAGTTTAATTAATAAATGCGCACATATTTACTTTTTCTCCAGAGATTCTGGTGACTAAATTATGCTAGGCCTATATGTAGTGTTTATTGATCAATTATGGCATAGTTCCCATATGTATGTGCAATTATAGATGTTACATGGATGGCAGACCTAGGCTATTTGTATATTTTTTTGGATCAGAATAATTTTGACTCATTTTTAATTCTGTCAACATTAGACTTTTTTATGTATTCGCTTACGTCATAGCTACAGATCCATATTAAATTTATGTGTCCATTACTCAATAATTCATCATTAATACGATCATATGCTTTCTTTACCCTACGATCTTTTTTGTGTAGGCTACCAAACTTTCGAAACTTACGAGACAAATACTAAAAACCATTCATAATTCTTAAATTTTGAAAATACTCTTTTTGCAATCACATAGACGGCTAGCTGATACATATTTTAAATTTAAGGGTTGCTGCTTTGTTAAGTCTGAGTAAAGAGATTAGTTTAAGATCAATCAAAAGCTAGAGTGTGTAGAGTGTGGGATTCAATCAGATAATGTAGGTTGTGCCGAACACGAAGTTCTAAGGTTACACGCTGATGTAATACATGTATCTTGGCAAGAAACTGAATATGAGTATTAACTTTGGATACTGAAAAATGTTTTACATTTTTACTCATCTTTCTTTGTGAACTTTTTTCATTGTAAAATACGAAGCATATTTTGTCATGTTTAATCTTTTGTTACGTTTGATTGTGCTGATGCCAACTAAGAATATTTTTCCTTTTTGAGGGAAGATGCTATTGCATG